GGGTGTGTGGAAATGAACCCCGAATTTTGAAACAAACTGACCGCCATAGCGCGGCGGCAACAGCTTCTTGCTTCTGGCCACCATCACCCAACTCGCTTCTGCCGTGTTTACTGTGGAGTCCCCTTAATCATGAGCAAAGTTGTGTTCGGTATGTCAGCTGCTGTGCTATCTTTGGTCCGCAATTCAAGCCTCTTCCTCAGTGGGAAACGTTCCTTACAATTATGGCGAGGTATGTCCCGACTCGCACCCAACCTACCCAACCTTTCTGGTCCGAAATTGACGCGTCAAGACCATGCGCATTCGGGAAGTGGACTTGCCATATTGAATGTGCCAGTCTCTGCCGCTGTGTTGCGGATCTTGGGAACCGAAAGAGAAGCTGAACGAGCCCACGCAGGAACAACTCATAGACGTGTTCAAGTCCGTCGGGTCGGTCGTCGGTTTCCGGTACGCTGTCATGCTGTATGGCGTTGGATCGCGCAAATCGACTGACTTTCTCGCTATATCCACAACTCGTCTACCACCTGTATTGATACTGCACCCACCGTCCGACCTCGCGCCTGTCCCTGATATGTTCGAACGCGGCGCTTTCCGCATCCCACCGGTTCATCTCCTACGCCAAAATAACCGAATCAAGACTGGTCTTCGATCGGGATACAGGCAAACCGAAAGGTTACGGTTTCTGTGAATTCGCAGGTGGGTTTCCTCCGTCTCCATTATCGGTGTCCGTCCATAGTTCGAGCTGGAAGGCATGCATTCTCCGCCGTGATGTTCCAAGATCTCATGCATCACTTTGGCCATCCTCACGCCCGGCCTTTCTATTCTCGTCGAAAACAAGACATCAGCTCACCATCTTTAACCGCATATCAGACCACGAAACCGCATTATCTGCCGTCCGCAATCTCAATAATCAAGATGTTGGTGGTCGACCGCTTCGCATTGACCTGGCAGATTCGGACCCATTCCTTGAAGGCAAGACCACAGTGCGCGGGGAATTGATTGACTCCGGTTGGGGCTCTCGAGGTGGAAAGGGTGGCGACGTCCCTCCCTTCCTCAAGAATCTACCTCCTGGACAACCACTACAACCGGGCATGAATGCGCTTGATGCTATCACTCAGACGCTCGCAAACACCAATCCTACACAGGTGGTGGAAGTGCTTGCACAGATGAAGGTATGTGTATTACTCCCACTTGTGATGTTATCATCCACTGCAACTCCCGAACCTGGAAATGCCACTCTTTTCCTTCATGCCCTAATTCGTGTGAATGTGTGAACGCACACGCGCTTGACCCAATCGCAAGTCCGTATCGCGGTCTACAATAGGAGTGTGGGCCCTTACCACTGCGCCAACGATATTACCTCGAGACACCCATACGGCGTCTGCAAGCCAAGGCGTATCCGGCGGACGATTGATATATTCATCTCCGCTGTGGGTGGAGATACTGATCCGTCGGTTCGTGCCTGCCCAAGGGCGGGGAAGTGCGGTCCCCCACATAGCGCTTGCGGTCCTGCATTCGCCGGTGCGGGACGACTTCGAGCGCTATGGGATCGTCGGGAGACCTGTGGATGCGTGTATGAGCTCATGTATTCCGTGCGGTAACTCCGAGGGACCGGTTGATGTCCGACCGCAAGCGCCGGATATCCTGCCTTGAGGCTCACACTGGCTGTGCACAACTGACTCAGCTGTTCTGTGCTGTACACGGACATCCACTACCTTCTCGATATGCTTGTTCTACAAGTGTTGTATGATGCGAACGCTGACTGCATCTGTATCATCAGGCGTTTGTGATCACCCACCCTGAACAGGCGCGGGCTCTGCTCGTGCACAACCCTCAGCTGGCGTATGCACTTTTTCAAGCTCTAGTCTTGAACAAGATCGTCGACCCTGCAATATTACAAGTAAGTGCGCGTGCCCACCCAATACAAGGATCTTCTCCCTCGATAAGGTCTATGTTCTGCATCACGCTCTTGCGGCGCGTTGGGTGCTTGTCTAGACCATTGATAACGCCTTGCGTCGCCGAGAAGTGTTTGTAGCAATCTTGTCAAGCTCTCTATACCTCTCAATGGAGATTGTCATTAGCCATTACTGATGCAACGTTCGGCAGCGTATGCTTGGAAACACGGGCGCAGCCATTCCCCCTCTAGCGGCAACTCCAGCTCAGGTACCTCCGCCATTTGTCCCACCTCCCGCGCCGGCGGCATCACAAGCGGCGTTCTATCCTCAGCCTCAGCCTCAGCAACCTGCGCTACAACCTTCTTTCTTCGGTGCCCCACCGGCGCAAGCCCGTGCTCCGCCTCCTACGGTCCCCGCCCCTATGCCGTCAGCCACACCTTTAGACAATCTCAACATAGATCCTGCTCAGAAGGTGCGTACCCTGGAAGATGTCGAGAAGTTCAGATATTTGGTCTATGGCATACTGCATGTGGTTTTCATGGGTCATAGAGCTCTCAGCCGAGCTACTTTCGTTCCATAGTTTCCTACCACGCCGCATGAGTCAGACTCGGCGCTCAGCTTCAACCGCACAAGAAACTAGAGCTTGCTCGGCGTTCTTGTACCCACGTACGGCGGCCGTGCGCCCTTGTTGTCCCACTTGCTTCGCACTACTACCGCTTCGATGTGTACGACGGGGATCGAGTCACACGCCGCCTTATGTTGGTGCCGTGACAATGTGTGATTCGGATGTTGGCCGCATGAAGCCCTGCCTTTGTCAGCTGATAAACAGTTCGTCGAACTGGCCGGTCTCGCGCTCGTGTCCCTTCGGTGCATAGTTGTTGAGCTGCTAATCGGCTTCGATCTTCGGTGACACGCCCGAACGCGACTCTATTACAACTTTCTCCTGACGAAGCCTGTCTATGACAAACGCTGACCGCTTTGTGATTATAGGCGATGTTGATGCAAGTTCTCTCACTTACTCCGGAGCAGATCGACGCCCTTGCGCCTGGCGACCGGAATACCTTGATGCAACTGGTGCGCCTGATCTTCCTTGATTACTTCAGTAACGCTGACTACGTACATACTTACCCCTTTGGCGGACACCTTGTCTACATCGTGTCCTTTCCACTGCTGTTCATCCCCATATCCCACCTTACACAGCGTCGCTCCTTCAACCTTTGAGATGCCGGAGCCATGGGCGTCTATCGATCGAAAGGATCGGGATCAAGTCCTAATATAACTTTCGTCGTACGAATGGCATGCCCGATTGCTTGTATCATCCTGTGCTCAAGACCTGGATGTGATATCATCGAACCCACCGATCCATCTATGCCCCAACCGGCTACAACAACGTTCAATCGACGCAAGGCCGTGTCGTGACCGTGTCAAGCAGTGCGCTTGATCAAGTTCAGGAACATCGGCTTAGGCTTAGACGCCGGCGTTCATCAGCCTGTGTGCCCTTGTCACGTGCGAGGTATTGTGCTGCTTACGAACGTATGGTTGGCGATACGCCCATACCTGGTCCTGCTGCCGGTGCACTGTGCACCATCGAGTCCGAGTCGGATGGAAGAGGATACCGGCCGGGTGACAGTTGCTTATAGATGCTTCACGGAGCAAGCTATCCGAGTAGGCAAACAGATCCATGCCACTACCCAAGAAGAGAAAATGTGGAGCCTGTCTCTGTTACAACTTGAGCCGCCCTCATGGCCTCACTTCTATCATGCCTTCTCAAGACATGATCCCAAGCGGCGAGAGTGGATGTAGAACTGCCTAGCCCCTCCACTCCCAAATGCCACGTTGGGCTTTAACAGATCTTCTCCCCGTCCAACGCGTCAAAGATACGATCGCCTTGATAGGTTCTAGGCGTCTTCAGAAGCTATCGAAAGTCGAGTGCTTGCAAAACAGTCAATGCTCGACTACACACGCGTGGATCACATCTCGAAATGTACTTTCTGCTATAAAGTTATAGGCAAGACCAACACGTTTCAGCGTTATATCTGACAGATACGCTCATGCAGAGCTCTACTCGGGATGTACTCATGTATGATGAAGGATCGCCGATCCCGCTCAGACTGAGGGAGTCAACATTGACAGTACAGTCTATTCAGGATCAGGCTAGGTCGACGAAAAGCCATAACGCGTACCGTGATGGCTCATCCGCATTATCGTATTCCTGACCTCCGGATCCTCAGATGGATACAAACGCGCAAACAACCTGATTGGCTGTCGGCGCTTTCCCCCGCGGCACGCGAGCGAACGAGGGAACAACAATATTGTCAACTCGAGCTTTCAACGAGCTCTTGCAATTGAGCGACGACGAGAGGCTCTTTATACGACACGTGTTGCCTGGGTGCATATCTCTGGTCTTGCTAGCAACGACACAATACGAGAGCTCTGAAGATGCCGGGCTCTTGGGAACACCATCGTTGTGTGAATCGAGGCAGTAGTTCGCTCTCGCAGGAGAGCAAGGACTCGCCACAGAGCGTGCACTCACACATGACTCGGGCACATGATAGTATCGCCTATGGACCCAGTCATTGAGGCGGAGGTGAGGGAGATAGCGTCAGCTTGGGAGAGGCGAGAAGATGGGCGACTCAGTACGTCTCGAGCGGGCTACTCGCATGGGGCCAAAGCTAACGGGTATGCGTAGGGCCGGTGACAACTCCGTACTTGACGAGACTCTAGCAGTCTTCGGTCGCTCGTGGTGATGCCTGCCTAGAGTCTCGATGATGGCACCGAAGGACTCGCGGTATAGTTCGACGCGCGTACAACGTATCTTACTCGACTCGCCTGCTCTTTGCTGCTCGATAAATTCCCAGCTGTCAACTCATAATTCATGTATGTCCCCTGCCCCTGCTGCAAGTGCGAATCGCCGCAGGTGCTGACATACTCCAATTGATCAGCGGATATACATGAGGGCAGTCCGCTCATGCTTGGATGACACACACTGTGCACTTATGCGGCACCCACGATTGGGCGTCTGACAGGGATGTATGTACACTACATGCTGAATCCTGACGCCCGCGTATCGTGCTGAATATGCTGTTGTAGAAAACGCTTTCATATGTGCCGAGATGGGCTTGCTCAGCTCATTAATGTATGATGGCCCCATTTCTTCGCGCGACGACGGAAATCAGTCACACGTTCAGAGAGCCACCTTCATCCGACCGGTAGCTCTCGTGGCGCGTCTGCTGGTGCTGCCGACGGTCCGTGGCGGCGCGAAATCGCCTTTTGAACCGACACTGGAAGTCGCGCCGTCGCGCCGCGCTCGCCGCTCTGATGCGGCAATCGCACAGAACCATACTTTTACCTGCAGACAATCATATGCACGGCAGGCACGTGAACGGGTACATATCGTCATCTCCGACAGTCTTCGACACGAGATCACCTTCCACCCATCCGAACCTCATGGCGGATACACCAGAACCTCGACATCGGAAGTACTGTGGTACAATTCGAACCGCGGCGCCAATGCGTGCCTGGATTCCAGAAGGGCAACACGTCGCGCAAGAGGAGACGAGCTGGACGTAACCACAGCCAGGAATATTGACGGACGGACTAACTACCAGTACTTAAGGCGTGCTCGTCCATCGTCCTACGTGAGGTGACCAGACATGTTCCCACAATCTCGTCTCGAACGCGCTTGCGTACTCGCTCTTGGTCTTGTTGCCTCTGGCACCCTTGCGGCTGCTGGTCCATGCGACATCTACTCCTCCGGTGGCACGCCCTGTGTTGCAGCGCATAGCACGACTCGCGCCCTGTACAGCGCGTTCTCAGGCTCCCTCTACCAGGTAAGCAGTTGCGCACTTGGTTCATAGCATGCCGAGGATTAACGCAAACTACTCTCCCAGGTGAAGCGCGGATCTGATAACACAACAACCAACATCGCGCCTCTCTCCGCCGGTGGTGTCGCCAATGCCGCCGCCCAAGATTCCTTCTGTTCCGGCACGACCTGCCTTATCACGGTCATCTACGACCAGTCTGGCCGTGGTAATCATCTTACCCAGGCTCCGCCAGGCGGCTTCAGGGGCCCGGAGAGCAACGGTTATGACAACCTGGCCAGCGCAACAGGTGCCCCGGTCACGCTGAATGGTCAGAAGGCGTACGGCGTCTTCGTCTCGCCCGGCACTGGCTACCGCAACGACGCCACCAACGGCATCGCTACGGGCGACGCGGCGGAGGGCATGTACGCGGTCCTCGACGGAACGCACTATAACGGTGGCTGCTGCTTCGACTATGGCAACGCCGAGACCAGTGCTACCGACACGGGCGCCGGCCATATGGAGGCTATCTACTATGGTACTTCCTCCGCCTGGGGCTCCGGCAACGGCAACGGGCCTTGGATCATGGCCGACCAGGAGAACAACCTGTTCTCTGGCGGCACCGCTGGCAAAAACACCGCTGACCCGACCATCACTTACCGTTTCGTCACTGCGATCGTCAAGGGCGAGGCAAACCATTGGGCTCTCCGCGGTGGCAACGCTGCGTCTGGCTCGTTGTCGACGTACTACAGCGGCACGCGCGCGTCTGGCTACAACCCGATGAAGAAGGAGGGCGCCATCATCCTCGGCATCGGCGGCGACAACAGCGTCAGCGCCCAGGGCACGTTCTACGAGGGCGTGATGACCACCGGCTACCCGTCCGACGACACCGAGGCTTCGGTGCAGGCCAACGTCGTGGCCGCCAAATACGCCACCACCTCGTTGACAAGCGGCACCGCTCTCACCGTCGGCTCTTCGATCTCCCTGCGCGTCACCACTCCCGGCTACGACACGCGCTACCTCGCGCACACGGGCTCCACCGTCAACACCCAGGTCGTCTCGTCGTCCAGCGCCACCGCCCTCAAGCAACAGGGCAGCTGGACGGTCCGCGCTGGTCTCGGCAACAGCGCGTGCTTTTCGTTCGAGTCCAAGGACACGGCCGGCAGCTACATCCGCCACTCCAACTTCGCGCTCGTGCTCTCCACCAACGATGGATCCCAGCTGATGCACGAAGACGCGACGTTCTGCCCGCAGTCTGGCATTAGCGGCACGGGCAGCTCGTTCCGGTCATGGGGCTACCCCACACGCTACATCCGCCACTACGCGAACGTGGGCTACATCGCGAGCAACGGCGGTGTCCACGACTTCGACGCCGCAGCTTCGTTCAACAACGACGTTAGCTTTGTGATTAGCAGTAGCTTCGCTTGAGGGTTTTGTGGTCGCTGTTTCTAACTTTGGTTCTGTTCACTCGTCCGTCTTGTAACATGGGGATGTCCCGATTGTTGATGTATACCTGATCTTGCCCTGCACGGGCATTCAAAACTACGGACAAATGTATTGTACCAATGACAAGTCCACGTTCTTCATGCCTGGCATCTGAATTCGACCGATTCCAAGGTTCGCTCTTGTTCACTGTGACCATGTAGCACGGACCTACGTACGCAAACACTTCGACGAGGCACCGCCACCACAGTACGAGGCTGCAGCCAATGGGTTCGGACTTGGATTGTAACGAGGATATATTCCAGCACGCGCACCCGTGCCAGGCAAAGGCAAGCCAGACCGCCCGCACAAGGTAAAACAAAGCAGTCCAGCAAGCACTCAAGCTATTACAGGGGTGTAGAAGAAAAAACTATGTAACATGAATAAACAAGGTTGGTGCAGAAAAGTTGGCGACGACGCGACCAGCGACGGGGAGGGCAGTGTGACTGCAAGTGTACGTGTTGTATGTATGTGGTGGGGTCTCTCTAGTGTACGTATAGAAGTTCCTTGTATGTGTGGGTTGCACGAGTCTACTCGGCCGCGGAGTTGACCAGCTCAACGGCGTTGTCCATGATCTTCTTCAACGGCCACCTCTCGCCCGGCAAATGCTTCAAGTCCAATACATCGCCGATCTCGTCACAGGCCTGGAGAACCGTGTCGATGTCCTCCTTCGTATGTGCTGCTGACACGCAGAACCGCACGCGTGATGTGACGAGGGGCGTTGCGGGGTACGCGACAACGACGACAAAGATGGGGGTGCGGCGCGTGCGCATCATGCGGTGGAATACCGCCATCTTTCCGGGGTTGAAGAGGAGCAATGGAACGACGGGCGAGTCGGCGTGGCCGTAGGTGATGAAGCCAAGCTTCGTCAAGCCGGCGGAGAGGTAACGCGAGTTGAAAGCGAGACGGCGCAAGCGAGCGCGGCCCTCCGATCCATCCTTCATGTGCGGCGGCAGGTCCATCCATTGCGGCAATGCGGAGGCAGGCATGGGTCCAGGGTGCTGAGTGGGCGGCTCGATAGCGAGTGGTGCGCCTTTGGCGGAAACCGGAGGCGTCCAGACACCCATGATGCTAGCCATACTCGAGAGGATCTGGGCGACGACCGAAGGAGCCATGCCCTCAGCGTAGGGTCCTGTGTGCCCGGAAATACGGATGCGGTCCATTAAGGCCTTGCTGCCAGAAATATAACCGCCGGCAGCACCGAAAGACTTGGTGAACGTTCCCATGAGGATGTCAATCTCGCGCGGGTTGATACCGAAGTAGTCGGCGACACCACGACCGTGCGGGCCGATAGCGCCAATGGAATGAGCCTCGTCGACCCAAAGGTAGAACTAGATATCCGACAGTCAGCGCCAGCTCCAAGTCAGATTCTACGCATAACGAACCTTGTACTTCTTCCTGAGTTCCAGGATCTTTGGCAAGTCGACGAGCGTGCCCTCCATAGAGAAGAGGCCTTCAACGATGAGCATGATCTTCTTCCACGGACGGTGCGTCTTCGGCTGGCCCTGGCTGATAGCCTCGCGAAGAACGTTTTCGAGCTCCTTCATGTTGTTGTGCTTGTACATGCGCACGTTGGCACCAGATTGGCGCACACCGAAACGGATAGAGGCGTGGTTGAGTTCGTCGGAAATGACCAGGCAGCCCTTGGAGACGACTGCGGGTATGATCGTCGAGTTGGTCGCGAATCCCATAGAGCTGAGAATCGAGTCCTCCTGGCCAACGAAACGCGCAACAAGCGCCTCGGCGGTGACATGGAGGTCGCTGGAACCGCCCTCAAGTCGCGTGCCATTGGCGCCGAGGTTGTAGCGGCGGAGACACTCGACGACGGCGTCTGCGCATCCGCCGGAAGCCTGGGCAAAACCGAGGTAGTTGTATGACGAGATGTTGAGACCGCGAGTCTTGTTGCCGTTCATGGTGAACGTCAAGTTATAATCGGTCGTGTCGCGGTCGTAAGTCATAATGGTACGTCCGGGAACGCCAGTAACGGGTACGGAGAAACAATCATCCAGGCGGGTCTTGAGGCGACGGGTATAGAACGAGTCGAAATCCGAGTTTAATGGGGCGTAACCCTAGATGGAAATTGATTGAGCAACTGCATGTCACTTTGGAATGGAGCTGAGAAGCAACTCACGTCTGACGGTTGAAGGTGCTTGTAGAACGCCGGGTAGAGACGCTTGCCGAAGAAGTCGCGTACGTGTCCGAGAACGATGAGGAAGAGGTAGGAGATGTAGGTCGTGATGAGAACCCAATACGGCGGCTCGTTCTCCTCGAACAGGAGAGATGAGCCAGGAACATGTTGAGAGGTGTAGCGATGCTGCTCGTTGGCCGAGTGCCCGAACTCCAAGTGGGAAGTGTGGAAGACCTGCTCAGAGGTGGGCGGTACGGGCGGGAGAGCCAGGCCGTCCGCGTTGTCGTACGCCGGCTCTGCCAGCACGCTGTCCTCTGAGCTGCCCGTGACTGAGCTGGAGAGGGAGAGCGCGGGCGTCGCCGTGGGTGTGCCGCCGTGGGAGCGACGGCGGGCGTCGGCCTCTGATACGGCGGAGAGGTAGGACTTTGCGGAGGCCAGGGCGGCGAGCTGCGAGTCTGACCGCTTCTTGAACATGGACCGGGAGGGCGCGAGGTTGAGAGCTATCGGCGAAGGCATAGATCTCCAGCCTTTACCCTCCGAGAAGCTGGTCGTCGTGGTCGCCGGGAGACTTGCAACTCGCCCTGTTGACCGGACTACTCTGCTTACTCCGACTCGCCGACTCATGGCCCCCGTGCGACCCCGCCTCAAACCAAACGTCACGCCCGCTTTCCTTGCTCCTGTCCGCCGATCTCCCTACTTGTTACGCTCGTCATACCGGGCTATAGTCTACCTTATACAGGTGGCTACTCAGCCCAATGTCTCTCTGCAGTCCGCGTCGCTGCTCTGCAATGGCCGAACGAAGGCTCGGGCGCCGCCAACAGATGATCCAGCTCTCGTAAAATCACTTTGCCGTTGCTAGCCGACACAACTCCATCGCAATTTGCGATCCTCCTTTCGGCGCCTTCCGGGCTATAATCGCGCGTTCTAGCCGCTGCAAGAGCGCGCACGGCCGGAGGTCTCTGCTCACTTATCCCCGACGATGTGTCGGCGTACAGAAGTGTCTCGGGAGCACCACTCGAACCACCACCATGAAGCAGTAGACTACCATGCATACTCCTATTCATAACGCTATCTACGTGAACATGTTCGCTACGAGTGATCGACGGCAAGAGCGTACGAATATGGAATAAGGCTGGCATGAGCAGCTTCTTCCTCCACGACAAGCTTCTATACCCAAGCCTTTGCAGCGTCTTCGCACTCGGCGCGAGATTTCCGAGACGCATCTACCCTAGCCGCCCTACCCGGCGCACACGCCGTCTCCCCATTCCTACTTCCACTGGATCTTGGGCACCAGCGAAAGCAGTTGCGCAACGGCGGCACTATCTTGTGGAGGCATGAGAGGCAGGGAAAGAACCTCCAGAGCGGGCATTCCCTTGTCCGCACGAGCTGTGAGGACTCCGATGATTATGTCAAGCAACCGAGTGGGCTCTTCTTCGTCCACACCGATGCCGAGGACACGAAGACGAGGGAACGGTAGATGGTATGTATCCGCGCTGTCGGACTCGATACGGCCAGGAGCAAGAGCGTATACATAGCCGTCGTACCCCGTCACGTCCAATGGATAGGTGCCCTGGTTCCATATGAGCTCGTCGTTCCCCAGCCAACAGGTCTCGACGTTGGAGAAGTTCTGCATGAGCGAACGCACAGTCGTATCATCGCGCTCGGTCCAATCATTGCCAACATGCAGTAGAAGCGTCGGGATTTGGCTCAACTCCGCTGGGGTTCGTGGGTATTGACACAGGTGCGGAATAATGGTCCATGTCAGACAATCGATCGCTGCACACGTGTCATATGGATTGAGCCATGGACAAGACAGTGGTACGTCGTTCGCGTGCGAGTGGTGGTAGAACTGCATCCTCTCATTGGCGACGATCAGCAGATAGGTTGTACCTCGAGTCAATGCCGCGCGTAGGCAGCTAGAAAACATAGGCTCCGTCCACGACCCGTTCACAGAGGCATCGAATGTCTCCGGTTCCACCAGGATATGGTCCAGAATTTGGGTCAAGCGTCCTGTGGAATCGCCCGTCTCGTCGTCAATCGAGATGGTTTTGAGGCGAGGAAGCTCCATGATCTGCGAAGGAACCGCTCCAACTTGTTCAGGTTCACCACGCACTACACCTTCGCGTATCGACAGCGTTTCGAGCATCGGTGTGGTTCGCAAGATGCTCAAGAGGTATCCTGGATCGACGTCGCAGTCTTCGAGGGAGAGACTCTTTAATGTGGGCGCGTTGAGAAGAACGAATGGTCTGTCCAAGCACACGTTGTCGAACTCCATATGCACCAAGCGCGGTGCATCTATAGTGCCGATGTCATTCAGCCGCTCCCGAGCGCGTGAATCAATGTGTTGGATAGACAGTGAGACGAGGTTGGTGAAGCAACCGGAGAGCAATGTCGGAAGACAAGACACACTACCCTTCAGGGTCCGTATTTGCGAGAGGCGAATGATACCGACTGCATTTGCGGTCCGATAAACGTCGAGCAGCGCAGACTTTGAGCGCGCGAGGAATACATTTGCTGCAGGCGGAATCATGCCGACCTGACGTGCCCAGAGCGTCGGCGTGGTGAGGCATGCGATACGCCAGGCAGCGCAGACGTGTGATGCCACCACCGTCGCCCCGAGTCTTTCTGCGATAACCGACGCCTCGGATGCGGCCTCGTCCTCAGTAGCAGAGTGGCTGTTTCTTCGCCACCGCATCAGTTGGGCCATGGTGAAACGCCGATCGTTCGGAGGATAAACATCCAGGGCAAAGTGCATGATGATAGAGAAGAGCTCTGGTATGGACATCGCGCGAGACACAGGTAAGGCATCGTTCCCCGCCATCTATGAAAGTATGATCGTAAGACACTTGCACGTCTCGTTGAGCATCTGGGTCAAAGATAGGTGTTGCGTACCAAATTTCGGTGGGGCATCGCTTCAGTTACTGAAAGGGTTGAGGTGACGGCGAGAGGATGGCGCTGCGATGAAATACCCGCCGCGCTTGTTGCCCTTGTCGCCGCAAAAGGCTTGGAATATTTATCCCCTTGTTCCACATTATCTTACGGACGCGCCTTTTCGTGCGCGCGAGAGCTCATCCTTTCAGCATTGTGCCTGATCATGGTGCCTCAGGCGCACTCGCCCCGCAATTATACATGCTATATCATCGCCTCGCCGTCAGCTTGACGAGCATGAATGGCCTCACCGGCCAAGTATGGAATAATGCACAAGGTCGCACAAACACGAGACAAGAACTACCATCCCCTTCCAAGTGTACCTTCCAAGTGTACTATGCTCCGTCCCTCCAGATGATATCCTCATTCCTTGTTGTCCGCATCACCAGCTTCCGAATCAACGAACGCCCAATGGATCTGCTTTGCAAACGAAGACACTTCATCGACGACGTCTTCGCTTGGCCGAGGGATCCAGGGAAGAGACAGAAGCTCCAGGACTTCTGAACCGGCGCCTTCGCGGATGGCGAGGATATCAACGATGTCGTCGAGCAGCTGCTCGGAATCGTCCATGGGGAAGTTCACGCCCAGAACACGAAGACGCGGAAGCGGCAATTGGTCTTCATCGTCGGCCCCTTCAGCGGGATATAGACTTCGCCACATGCAGGTGTACACCCTGCTCGAATCCCGCGTTCGGTTCGGCGTGGGTGTAGGGCCAACGAACCAATACGTCTCAACATGTGGAAGAGCATGCATCATCAGGCGCAAGGTTGCCTCATCCTTGTTGAAGAGGTCTACGCCGTCAGTGTGTATGACCAAGGCCGTGATATTAGATAGCTCTTGCTTGATTCCGAGTGAGGGAATCGCTTCTAGGAACCATATCCGGTCATAGCACGTGACATAGGACCGGTTATACGACTCCGAGTGGCCCAAATTTCCGAGGCCCCTAGGCGTGCTCACGTCCATATCGGCATGTATTTCCATCCCATCTTCGACATACAAGCAGTTTGGGGCGTCCCGTATGAGCAAATGGCGAAGGCATACGAGCAGGAGTGATTCTGTCCAACCTATCTCTAGGAACGCTTGGAAAATCGTCGGTCGGTGGCATAGTAAGATAAGAAGTTGACAGAAGACTCTTGCGGCGGAAATGTCGTTGTCGTCAAAGAGACCGAGTGTTTGGAGATTTGGAAGTTCTAGTTTCTGCGTCCGAGGCGAGTCGTCAAGCTCTTGCGCTACGTATCCGCAATTCATCACCATCAAGGTGTCTAGCAATCGTGAAATGTCAAGAAGATTCAGAATCCACGTAATGGACAGAACGACGTCCAAGATCGACAGCTCTTTCAATCTGGGCGCACGAAATAGGGTGTGCAAGAGCAATGTCCTTGTGTGCCACAACTTCAATCTGGTCAGTTGAGGCACATCAAGCACATCAACATCATCGAAGGTAGGAGAGCGGCACCACCAGACCATATCGAGGTCCAAGCTGACGAGGTTGTGCAAAGGTTTGCGAAGGATACTTTGCATGAAACCTTTGCTCTCATCATCGCGAAAGGCTTCGGTATCGGTGCTCCAGATTAGACTCCTGATGCGTCCTGAGTGGATAGACGGAACAGTGGCACTGTGTATGTCGACTTGACTCTGTCCAGACCGAGCGACGAACTCATTAATTGCCGAAGGCACCTGGCCTATCAGTCTTGCCCAGAGCGTAGGCGTGCCGATACAGATCGCCCTCCATGCCGAACAGACGTGCGACACTACGACAGCAGCGCCAAGTCTTCGCGTTCCCACCACGGGTTCGGGTTTATCGAAGCGTTTGCAGAGAATATGAGGCAGAATTGATGGCATGTAGACGTCGAGCGCGAAGTGCATGATGACTGCAAAGAGTTCGGGGATTGACATCACACGAGCGACCGGCCTAGTCGCGTTGAGAATTGCCTATGCGTACATCAGGTTCGCGGAGTCATACTCTGAGCATTCGTATGAGAACATACCCTTGACTCAAGTGGCATAGTGATGCGGATGGATAACGCGCGCGGTAGTGATGGTGGGTGGCAAGTCGCGTTATCTGGCCCGGTCGCCGGTGCTATTGTCGAGATGTCACATTGTGGCCAGGCTTCGCGAACATCACCAGCTGAAAGCACCGGCCACGATGCGCACCCTAGTGTCAGGCCCGACCTAGAATTCATTGCAAGGCTACGGAAGACTATGTATCTGGAGGACAGCATTATCCTCGTGGGGGAGGTCTGCGTCGGCGGTGGCACAATGCGGTCTCGTGCTTTCTGATACAAGGGCCACGAGGATGAGAGATAATGTAGTTTCAAATGCATGAGTTGGAAGCAAAGAATACAATGCGGTATGGTACAGATTTCATTAGATGTAAGTCGTGATAGAAGAGGATGGCGATTATAGGCTCTCATCAGCGCCGGTACGTGACGTTACGGTCAAAATGGAATGGATCCTCCTCTTCATCGGCTGTTGAATATATGTCAATAATGGAATAGGAAGGCGCATGGAAAGGAGGAACTCACAATCGCTATCGCAGTTGCAGGGCACGCCTTGAGCGGACGCTCCAGGTCTTGCGAGATAGTCTGTCGGCGTAGTTAGGTCACCTTTACCGGTCACGAGATGGCTGCCCAAACGCACCGAAATAGTCCTTCTCATCCTCCTCCTCCGCGCACTCTTGCAAGGCTTGCATGAACCAATTCTCCTTCCCCCGCAGTGGATCTACGTGAAAGCGTGTCAGCTGCTACGCAGATCATGCTTTAACGTCAGAGACACACCAATCTCTTCCTCTTGTTCCATCTCACGGAGCATATCTTCGGCTGACCATCCACGCTTCAAGGGGCTACCTCGCTTGGGCTCCCGGAGAACACGCGGGGAGCGAGGTGGGGAGCGCCGTAAAAATCGTTGGCTAGTGGGAACGAGGTCGACGGGTAGAGCAGGACAGATCATAGGTGAAGGAGCTAAAGTTGCCTCTTCAATCTGAGCAACGCGTGACGGTGGCGGAGAGCGTGGTGAAGACGTGGTTGAGACAGTAACGCGCTTCGCTTGATGCTCTAAAGGCTTCTCGCGCGCCAGGCGCGATGAACTCGGACCCATGCTCAACGGAACCGTCGTGCGCCGTGGAAGTGGTGGCGGTTTGGGAAAAGCAGCAAGGAGGTTCTCGTTATCGTGACGTGCCGGGCGAGGTCGAGGTGCGCTTGCGGAAGGCGATGCGGAGGCCAAGAGTGACGGGAGGTCAGTGTTGCTTCTGCTCCGCGCTAGCGGTGGCGCTCGAGCATCCTTGTTCATAGCTCGAGGTGAAGATGATGCGGATCGTGCATTCGAGGTAAGGTTCATAGAACTCTTGGTGCGAGCCAGAGATGGCGGAGAACGACTGGCAGACGGAGGTGCAGTTGGCGCGCGGCGTGTAGGTACCAGATGGGTCGCCCTACTGTATTGCGAAGGCGATTCGGGAAGTGGGGATCCCGGGCGAGCCGGTATGCTTTCCATTGCAGCGGCGAGGTGGCAGCGTTAACAGGAGATGAGGGTAGGAAGACACTGGCAACACGTGTTTCAAAGGGCGGGATAGCTGCGCGACGCGATGTTCAGGCCACGAAGGCCGTAAAGGTGACAAAGGGGATCACGGCCCACCTACGGCGGAGGGTGATGGAAGAGTCGATTGCTGAGTTTAGGGCGTTCCGGGATAAATATGCCCTTGACAATAACCACACATCGTCAAAGGACGGGACGGAAAGAGAACAACCACACTCCTAGCACGTCAAAGCAGCGCATCATCGTGGCCCACAGTCCACTATCGCCCGAATCAGGCTAGCCGGGACGCCGTAAACAATCAGATTATATATGGATGAACAGCCTAGAGGTATAGGGGGATTATCAGTTGAAATGGAAGTGCGCAAGGAAGATAAGGAATGGACACGACGTACAGTGTGCATGTGGGATCTTCCAAAGAACAGCATATGACCTTTCCATCGACCCTCACGGATAACAACGGCGAGCATTACGGCGAAGACAACACACTCGATGCGGAGAAGAGTGTGTCGACGTCGACTTCTGCGAGCTAGCGTTGAATGCACTGAAACACGACCGATGCCATATTAGCGCCAAGCGCGAGCGCGAGCGCCCATCAATGCTGCTGGCTTGCACAGTGGCGTATCGTCACTCGAGTGGACTGCTCTTGGATAGCTCGCTACGACCAGAGCGTCGGCGTCGATGACATGCAATGACAATAGGAGCATTCGCACAAGGTCGGCGCTTGTCCCAATTTGCGATGGCGCGAACTGTTTGAAGCCAAGAGAAGCGACGGACAATACCTTCAAGTTTGCACTTGAGCGTTTGACGTCTAACGCCTAACTCCCGTAGAGTCAAGATACGCAAAAGGGGGATCTCGATAGGATGTGCATGAGTGTAGAAGCCAGGATCCAGAACGGCTAACGGCCATCGGCATCAACAGCGGACTCCAGTGACCGTCCGCGCGGTGCCGAGAGGGCGCTTGCCTCCCGACTGTATGTTGTGCGCACCGCCTTGGGTGCGCAGGTAGCACGACTCCCTGGCCAGACCAACTGCGACAAATCACCCAGCCACGATGACCTCGGGTCGGGGCCTCCTCCCTCTGCCCAACGTCGCGAAGTGGCAGGAACAATTCGCGCGCCAACCTTTCGCGCGTCGCCGGTATCTTCTTGCTGTCGTTGGACTTGTTCTGCTATATCTCGGCTATGTGAACACCTGGCGCTTGACCGCGGATATACCTCCAGACTACCGTGCATGGCACGAATTCGAGCTTGCACTTCCACAGAACAATCCCGACCTGGCCTACCCTCAAGGAAAAGCCGGCAAATACGTTCGGGTCTCTAATCACGTCACTAGTGCGTATACATGGCATACGATACAACTCCTCTCAATGACACAACAGAGCTCGGCTGGGGAAACCATATACAAGAAATGATCATGAATGCTCATATGACCTTCGAGTCGGGTAGGACGTGCGTACATCCATTCGCGCCCGCGGACAGCAACTGACGATACGTCCAGGTTCGTGTTCTATAACTGGACCTGGGACCCCAATACTCGATACCACTATACTACTTTCGGCAGTCACTATTCGCCTGCCAGGATACCCATCACCGCGTACGTCGAAGGTGCGTAATCCTCAACTTGCACGAGCAGCCTACTGATCCTGCGCCACAGGTCCCATAGCGGGAGGTCCCTTTCCCGACCAACATAACGTGTCACCCGCCGTATCTTGGGAGTTCTTCGACCAAGTGTGCCCAAACCCGGCCCGGATCGACGTGGACCCAAACAGCGGCCCTCTCGCATGGGCGTCTGCGCGTACCATCTCCAATCACTACGCGGAACAGATTCGCAACATTGACAACCACTGCGTCGAGTTTGTGTCTAAACAGGACAAGCCCATCTTCGACTATATGTACGTTGTCGTTTCTATCGCTCGCCACAAGAACAACTCTGACGCACTCGCAGTCTATTTGGCGATGGTGGCCGTCTATCGGACGTATGGGAAGAGCTCATAATGTCGCCCATCGTGACAGAATGGAAATGGTCCCCGCTTGTCATGTCAATCGCAGAGCAGAATCGTGATCTCATTCACCCGGCGCTAGAGACCGGCGCATCTCAACATGCATCGCTGCCCGGCCTTATCGCACTGCACATTCGGCGCGGTGACTACCCCAATCACTGCAAGTATCTACGGAAGCATCATGCGCCCTTCCACGGCTTCAACCAACGATCCGACTTCGCCGACCACTATCCGCTGCCTCCAGACGAGCGTTGGGCGGCCGAGTCGCAATCGTATTACGACACCCACTGCATACCGGACACCAGTAAGATGGTTGAGAAGGTCATGCAGGTTCGATCTGCGCATACAGGCCAGGGCACACTTGACCGAGTGTACATCCTCACAAACGGCGACCGTGCGTGGCTGCGCGAGTTCGAGGACGCGTTGCGAGCCCGCGCGACCTGGGCCAGCATTCACTCCAGTCGCGATTTGGCCCTCAATCTGGAGCAGAAGTTTGTAGCTCAGGCCGCAGACATGATGGTTGCGACGCGTGCGGAGGTCTTTGTTGGGAATGGGGTTGGTCTCCAGACTCCTATCGTAACCAACTTGGCTGACCTTTGCTTATAGTTCTCGAGTTTAACCTCAACGGTCAACCTACTTCGTGTTGCTCAGCGCCGGTCACCTCATACAACGCGTTTCTGGTAGCACATGCACTGCTGTCGTAGGCCTTATAGATGATGGATTATCCATTTATACAGCGCGATGGCGCAGGCACTCGTTGCATCCTGGCGCCGGCTCTGCGATGCACTGCCCCTTCGTTCCTGCAACGCGGTGGCTCCACGCAGGCGTGTATGGGCGTTTCCTCTGATGGGCGTGCAGGCCCCAAGGCACATTCATTCTTCCTGTCCTTGCCTCGACTTGTCGCCGTTCCGGAGAACCCGTTGCTATGACGGAGTGAGGGAAAGGTTGTTCTATAAGAGCTTCAAGGGCGCAGGCCTGAGCTCCTTCCCGGCCAGTTTGAGCATCGCCTGTTACGACCTTTCACGACAAACCTTCTCAGTGTCGACGATGATATCATCGGGGGTACTTATCCTGTTGTTAGACGCCGCACTGTTGTTCCCCGCCTGTTGGGCGGCTTCGTTACAACCTCCAACTCCGGCCGTCCTGCATAAGCGCGCGACGTCCAAGGCAGGCTTGGCATGGCCGGACGGCCCCTACGTGGACATGAATCAGTACACTTCCACTGGTAGAGTCTCTTGGTACGCGTCCCCTTCATGCGCGTGGGCCGCGTTTCTGACTAGTCTGAATAGGTACTACACTTGGAATCCTAGTCCCGACGATTCTGCGACGGTCGAATTTGTGCCTATGCTATGGGGCACGAGCCAGTTAGACCAATGGTCATCCACAATCAACCAGACTATCGAGGGGAAGAAAGTCGCCAATGTACTAGGGTTCAATGAGTGCGTTATTGAAAGGTCTGCGTTATTGACATGTTCTGAGCCTAGCAGACCAGAGAACCCAGCTCAGTCCAATATGACAGCGCAAGAAGGTGCCGACCTTTGGAGACAATACATTGAGCCTCTGAAGACCTCCCATGGCGTACGCCTTGGTACGCCTGCTCCTGATGGAGACGAAGCAGGGAAGACTTGGCTTCAGGACTGGCTTACTTCGTGTAACGGCGGATGCACCCCCGACTTTCTGGCCTTACACTGGTATGGTACGGACGTTGGAAACTTCATTGCATACATCAACGACTATCACTACACGTTCAACTTGAGCGTCTGGGTGACGGAATGGGCCTGCCAGGTAAGTATGCTACCACGCATCTATTGTGCAGGGCTAAACGTTAACCCAGAACTTTGTGGACGTCAATTCACAATGCTCCGCGGACGATATCGTGTCATTCATGAATCAAACGCAGGCATACATGGACGAGACAGAGTGGGTAGAACGATACGCATGGTTTGGAGCCATGACACAGATGCCAGATGGCGTAAACTCAGTATGCCGTCCTACTTTGGACGCAGACGATGAACTGACGCGCCCCCCGAAGAAGGACGCTATCATGGGTTCTGACGGCAAGATCAATAGTCTTGGCCAGCAATACATCGGCTCTACTGGTACAGCCACGATATCCTCTGCAAATATGGCTCCAAGTAGTTTAACTACGGTACTTTTGATGGCGAGTCTCGCAAGCCTGCTCCATGTGGTGGTCTAGTCAGCCACTTGTAACGTAGCCACTGTTGTATTGTTGTAAATTCCACATACATGTATACCCGTTCTTTTCTTATTGGCGTGGCTTCAATCTGTGTGAGCATAGGATGAGATGCGAACACGACGTTCAGGCGCTCACCCGTGGATCCCGGAGGCGCGGGACAAGACGCGACGCGTCGCGTCGCGCAAACAAAAACACGCGACCGTGTGCGTTCTTCGGCCCCGCAGTGGCCGCACGAATCTCGCAATAGAACCTCCACTTACTCTTCTGCTCACTTCTTCGGTGTCTCGCCCATGGAAGAACAGTAGCTGCAGCTATATCAGCAATGGCTGACGATCCTCATACGCTCGCCAGGTTCGCATCAGCTGCAGTGTCTTGTCAGCTTATTTGACAATCGGTTCAGGGAGGCGAAGGCTCTGGCGGTAGCCCTCAAGGACAACCTTAAGAAACGCGAGCCATGGGATAAAGAGATTGAGTTCCAGAGGCGAAAGTACGTGTTCTCGCGCCGCGGAGTATCTCATTAAATTAAAGTGAAATAGTCTGCAGAAGCAGTACCTACTTCTACTTCTCAGTCATCCCCGCGCGAAAGAGTCGAAGGATGTCGAGACCCTGCTCTGGATGCAAACTTCCCATGCGTTGATTGCGCCGTACAAGACGCGCATATCTGCGATAGAGAAGGCCCTACGCGATGTCAACATGCAGAAGCAGCAGGGGAAAAGACAGCAGCATGGTCCAGTCGAGCATCGCAAACTCGTTCATCGCTACCGGCAATATCTTGCGGGCGAGGAGAAGTTCTGGATGCAGCTCATCGCACGTCTCCACGAACAGTTCGCTCTTCATGAGGCCGATCATATCGTCGCCAGTCTTGGAATCACATCCACGGACGACGCACAGGGCTCCCGAAGTCATTTTCAATTCCCCGCGCCACCCGCAGGTTCCGTGCCGTCCTCTGATCCAAATGAGCGCGCCGGGTACATCTCAATCCTCGCGAAGGCTCTCGTCTGCTTGGGCGACCTGGCTCGATACCGCGAGCTTGCTTCAGACGCCGGGCCACGCCGGCAGGAGGATGCAACTAAGCGCGGAGGGCGAAGCAACCGCGGGAAACTGCCCGTGGCACCTTTTGATGTCGCGCCGAAGACGTTGGACAGGTCCCGCACGTTGTACGAGGCTGCGCGCTCGCTTGCTCCCGATGATGGCAATCCCCCTCATCAACTGGCTATCCTGGCGCTGCACAAGCGAGACTCTTTCGAGGGCGTCGTGCAGAATTATCGAGCTCTCTGTGCTCGCCAGCCTTACGTGACAGCCGCGGGAAACTTGACAAGCATCCTCCGAGGAGCCCTTTTAGAGTATCAGAAAGCGCACTCTGCCCAGGATGGACGGGATACGCGTCAGCCGACTGTCGAAACTTTCAAGAGAGACGTCATTGCGTTATACGCTTCCTGCAGGACGGGCGGGGACGTGTGAGTACATAGGTTACGACCAGTAATGTGATCTAATCTATTTACAGCAATTTGGCCCGGAATCTCGCGACGAAAGTTGCCTCAATTTACTCAAAGCTGATCTCGGATCGACTTCTTTCTGTCGACTTGATCACCAAGGTCTTGACGCTTGCGCAGGGGACGTTGTGGCACATCAGTCGAGAGAAAGCGGCGAAAGGTTCAACCTACCTTGAGGACGCCTCTTCTCTCGTCCTTGCTAATCTTCTATCTCTATACCGCTCATTGTTCGATATCAGTGCTCAAGAGCTGCAAGAACCCATGACGCCCGGTGGACGGGACTTGGCGATGCGCATCACAGCTGTCTTTCGCCGTATGCTTCCCGCTCTGCGAGTGACTGGAAAATGGCTTCGCGCAAAGGACCATCTTGACATGATTCTCACATCTGCTTCAACGACTACGCAGCCGTTTTGGCAGTCGTATACTGTATTCTTTGCGCGGATCACCGAGATATTTCCTCCCGATCAACTCCCACGTCTGGCGCGCCAGCTCGACGAGGATGTCGAGCTTGTCGGCTATCTGCCGCTAGGCGGACTACTCTTCAGCAGGACCGACCCCGCAGTTCTCGCGTCCGAAGATCGCCGCGCGTTAGAGGATGTTCATCCCAACGAAGAGCAGTTGATGCGGATATGGGATATATGGCATGATGCGAGTCTAGTCGCAGAGCTTGCTCCGGAACAGATGCGGTCCTTTCGAGCCTATTCGACTAGCCGACAACCCTCGAAAGCGCAGACGCCGACAAACTTGACCGCAGCACAGTCGCGAGCACCACTGGGATCGCAAACGCTTTCCCGTTACCCCCCGCCACAGACGGCCAAGTCAGTTGACGATGATGCTCGTACGGAGACGACCGATCCGGTGGGCGATGCCTTCCGCCAAGCTCTGGGCGAGGATGACGACTCGGACGACGAGGAGATCTTGTTCAATCCAAGGTATGTTCGGACATACATTCTACGTTCTAACGTCTCTCATGCTTCCCAGGGCTTCTATAATGTCTGTAGCCCCAGAAGCACCCGAGCCTCCTCTCTCGACACAACACACACCGACGAAGCAGGTTCCCATGCATCCCTCTACGCCCTCTGCTCCACCCCCCTCTATACAGCTCTTGGCCCCGACAAATACTATTACGCCTCCTAAACCAGATGCGACCGGATCGACGTCCTTGCTCCCAACCCCAACGCACGTGCCTACTCATCGTGGTTCATCCTCGAGCTCTACGCCAGCTATACCGCATACACCCAAGACGACGGCGCAGGACCTGCTTGCAAACGTGCTTGGTCGCGGAGCGCCATCCAGGACTGCCCGTCGCGTATCACAGGCCTCTCAGTTCGCACCAACGTCTGGATCAACGCGTCCTGCTTCGGATCCTACCACGCCATCTCTTCATCCCGGTAATGCTCCGGGACCTTTCGGCGCGGGACAATCCATTTGGTCTGCCTCAGTAGGAGAACATGCAGTGGGCGCTCATCATCGTCGTCTATCTCAGTCCGGCATGCATGGTGCAACGAGCTTGCGTTCGACGAGTCAGCCCCACCCATGGACGGGCACATCCGAGCGACATTCATATCAGCAGAACGTGTATGCGACGCCGCCGCCAGCGCTACAAAATGCTGCTCCGCCTACTGCATTTCCCACTTCCCTCCAACAACCCACGCTCCAGGTCACGCCCGGTATCGGCATCGGACTTCCGCCTTCTGGCGCTCACGCGCACCGAAGACTCTCGGGCTCAAATACCTCATCTCTCCTTGCGCAACATTCATATTTGCCGCAAGCCACAAGCCAGCCAACCGCGCATATGATCCCCAGCTATCCGCAGCTTTCTTCGCAAGGACATGCACTGCCGCATGCGATGAATGGGATGCATCTCGGTGCCGTGCAGCCTCCGCAAAATGTGTCTGGTACGCAAGGCGCCGGCGATATGCGCGCGTACGGCGCGATTGGCGGGATGGCAACGGGTGGGGTTCCATATGCGGGTGGTCTACAATCGACTGGCTTGGGTATTGCTGGAGGCATATGGGGACCTGCGGGATAGTATCCGACAGATGGACCTGGCAATGACCATACTCGCACTGGGAACCACTTCGACCACTGCCTCAGGCGCCCGAGCGCTGCCTCATTCCCTCGGATCCGTGTCGCGTCCGTGCGCGCGCCTCGTCAGGGTCAACTTGTCGGCGGCTACAGTAACACTCACGCCTAGAAGGGGTACAAGGCGCGGCGATCTCAACACACTGCTGCAACAATAACGGGATCGAATGCGTCCGAACTCGTGTACGATCGTACACACTCGGTACTTTCACCAAACACTTCGTCCGAAGTATGCATCATCTTGTGGCGATAAAATATATTTTTGCTTGTTCATATGAAGCATCTTTCTTCTCCTTTCTACGACGTGTGACTTGTAGACACAGTGGACGTTGTCGGTACAGTGTGCACGATACCTATGTGCGTCTTAAGTAAACAGCGACCCTATTTTTCCGTAGACGTCAATCTCTGTGCCTTTGGGCAAGCTAATACGTATCCATACAACGCATTACGCTTGAGGCAAACGCGATCCGATGCGCTCTATCCTTTCGTAGAAACTATCTCAGCCACGTGTGTCTATCTTCCCAGAGATTGTGACTCGGGCGTGAAGGTCGCGAAACGGAGAGGTCGACCTATTCTGTCCGATGATACTGTAGAGCGCTTGACGCAGCGTCCTGACTAGCCTACACATAGTGCGCAAATAGTAGGAAGTAGCTTGACAGAGAGAATTGGCTCTACAGGACATATCGAGCGAAAGATCGACAACCATTGTCAACCACAGTGGTAGGCGCGTGGCACGTGCCAGTTTGAAAGCGTGTGGCCCGCGCGGCAGACGCGACGCGACCGGACGCGTCGCGTCGCACTAAACTGGAGCTTTAGTTCCGACCACCATCATCTCCCTGCCCCACGCTTGACAGACTCTGATCCAGAAGATCTGCCATGGAGAATTTGTGCGTAAGGGGTACGTATAAAGCTGCGATCGTACTCATAAACTACCCAGACGTCGCCAATTCACCCAACAACCCTACCTCGTCCAGACGGGCACGCGTCCTACTGGATCTGTTATCGTCAGTGTATTTTCTTTGACCCATCTCTTCAGACCATACTCATACGTCTCAGTCTGTGAACTCTGAAGACTCGTCCGCACCTGTACGAATGAGTGGTCACCGTCGTCCAGCCAATGTGGTTGAGATATCCGACTCCGACTCTGAGGGCGAAACTCGCGCACCACGGTCCGTTCTATCGTCGCTGTTCGATCCTCATGATTGACTCACATATATGTCGTAGCCCGCTAGAACAGCGCAACAACATACAACCACCTGCACGCCCCTCCGGCGCTGTGCAAGGCTACCCCGTACCGCCTAATCCCTACAAACCTGCTGCGCCAGCGCCTGCCTTTACGAAGCCCGCTGTCCCCATCCCACCACCTGCCCAACCACAGGGCGCCACATGGGGTGCCTTCACCGCCATCAACGAACAGAACCTCTACGACCCGAAGAAGACAGCCGCAGAAGCCGAGAAGGATCTCAAGGAACTCTTTACCCAGTCCTTCGACGGGCGTGAAGAGGGCGAAGACGAGATCGAGATCGACATGACAGAAGCTGAGGTCGATGGCTTCCAGGACGACATTCGCCTGCTCCCTCACCAAGTTCTCGGTCGCAAATGGATGGCGGACCGCGAGTCAGGGAAGCGGTTTGGTGGCATCCTCGCCGACGACATGGGGCTCGGGAAGACTATCCAAACGCTGACACGGATCGTCGACGGTCGTCCCAAGAAGAGCGACCGTGAAGCGGGCTGGGACGCTGCTACTCTGTACGTACAACACCTGTGGCGCGGATCTTGAGCGGTCGCTAATAAGCGCCCCACAGCGTCATCGCACCTGTCGCTTTGGTCTCGCAGTGGGCCGCTGAGATCGCCAAGATGGCGGTAGGGCTTCGGGTCATTGAGCACCACGGCGCAAGTCGTACCACAGGTACACGACTTTGTACTGAGCGTTACAAATCGAGCTGATCATGGCGTTGTAGACCCAAGCGTACTCAAGCGGTGTCATGTAGTCGTGACTTCCTACTCTATCGTTGCATCGGAATACGCCTCATTCGCTCCGGAAGCGAAGGACGAGAGCAAGAAGGGCAAGAAGAAGAACCTCGACTCTGAATCTGACTCCGATGACGATTCCGACGAGTTCACCCGCAAGCTGGCGAAGAAGTCCGCGGCGAAAAGAAAGGTGAAAGATGCGCTCTTCCATGTGAAGTGGTTCCGCATCGTCCTTGGTACGTACATGCGGGTGATGTGCTTAGCGTTCGCTGCTGACTTTGGTATCAGACGAGGCACACAACATCAAGAACCGCAAGACGAAGGCGGCTATTGCTTGCTGCGAGTTAAAAGGCAAGTACCGCTGGTGCTTGACTGGTACGCCTCTGTAAGTGATTACATCGCCATGATTCCCTGCATATCCTCAACCCGTGTTCAGGCAAAACAGCGTCGAGGAGCTGTACTCCTTGATCAAGTTCCTTCGCATCAAGCCTCTCAATGACTGGCCCACTTTCAACGAGCAAATCGCGAAGCCCGTTAAGAGCGGCAAGTCAGTTCGCGCGATGAAACGTTTGCATGTCAATCATCTCATCTTGACCTATCATTTGCCCATGTCTGATGTATCTGATTACAGGTCGTGCTGCGGGCAATCATGCTCCGGCGTAGGAAGACGGACGTGCTCAATGGCAAGGCGCTTGTCGATCTGCCCAAGCGTACGGTGGAGATTGTGACGTGTGACTTCGACGAAGAGGAGCGGTCATTCTACACCAACCTTGAGGAGAAGATCACGTCCGCAATGGAGAAGGTCATGGCAGCCGGCGACATCCAAAGGAGTTATACGCACATCTTGGTTCTCCTCCTTCGCTTGCGCCAAGGCATGGCAAATCTGAATCCTTTGATTTGTGACCACTGACGTTGTGCTCAGCTTGCAACCACCCATCTCTGATCACGGGCAACCTGAAAGACGATAGTGAGGCGCTCGAACCACGCGCTCCGGCAAAGAAGGATGAGAGTGACTCGGATATCGACGAGCTCGCCGACGCCCTTGGTGGTGTTGGGCTGTCAACCGGAAAGAAGTGCCAGATGTGCCAAACCTCGTCAGTCTGTCCGTCTCCGGGATCGCTCATCTGAATCTCACACATCATACAGTCTTACGTCGCAGAACGTCGCAGAGGATGACGACGAGCACTGCACCGACTGTGTCGCCCTTGCTCGCAACGCGCGGCGCAAATCTGCACGTGGTGGCGCGGCCCTGCCGCCAGACTCGGCCAAGATTCGCAAGATCGTTCAGTTGCTCGAGGAGATCGAGGCTCGTGAGGAGGAGGACGGCGCACCGACAAACGAGAAGACGATCATCTTCTCGCAGTTTACCTCCATGCTCGATATCATCCAGATCTTCTTGAGGGCGAAGGGGATTAAGTTCGTGCGCTGTACGTTCGTTCATTACCGCGCTTTGCACATGTACTGATCCTCTCACAGATGACGGCTCAATGGCTAAGGACAAGCGCGATATCAGCCTGAACACGATCAAGACCGATCGCAGCGTCAAGGTCATCCTCATTTCCTTCAAGGCCGGTAGCACCGGTATGTGACATATCATGCTCAGTTTGGTCTGTGCGCTGACTACTTACGTGTAGGCTTGAACTTGACTGCTTGCAACAACGTCATCCTTGTCGACTTGTGGTGGAACCCGGCGCTGGAGGAACAAGCCTTCGACCGCGCCCATCGTTTCGGTCAGAAGCGCGATGTAAACATCTACAAGCTTACGATCGAGAAGACCGTCGAGGAGCGTATCCTGCTATTACAGGAGAAGAAGCGTGCGCTTGCGGCCGCGGCGCTTGCCGGCGACAAGCTCAAGAACTCGCGTCTTGGCCTCGACGATCTCATGGCTCTCTTCCGCCCTGGCCACGACGACGAAGAGGAGGCTTGAGTCTCACCTCACTTGCTTTCTCGGCTGTCCTCTACTGAGATGTTTACGCTATCGTACCTGACTCGCACATCGGTTATTTCGCTATCTACGCTGTTATATGCACCCAGATTTGTTTTGTGTATCTCATGAACCTATAGACAGGATCTAGTAATGCCTATTTCTCCCATGGCTTCTTCCGGGGTTGCTCAACCGATACACTAGGCGCTGCTTCCTGCGGGATGATGGTGAGGTCGAACTCTCTTGAGTGTAAGGTGATGCGATACATACGCTGAGGACGTCGGGTATTTGCTTGTTATTCGGGATCTGGTCAGTCTTACCTAGTGTGATGAGCTCTTGTAGCTCTGCAAAGGACAGGGCGCGGGGTTCTTCAGCCGGCGGCTCGGCTGGAGAACTGACGCTTTGCTCCGTTCTTCGAGCGTCCTCTTCGGATAGATACGAGCCTGTCACTCTGTAAAGACCCAGATGAGGATGAAACTGCGAGGAGGGCTGTTGAGCCCGCGTACTGGTTGAAGTAGAATACTCTTGTTCGTCTCAGCATGTGGGCCTTTTCCTCGTCAGGGAGTTGGTCTAGTGCGCCGCTCGACAGAATCGTAGAAAGACCTTGCTTATTAGGTACACGTTGAGCTCCGGCACCATAGCGCTTGGGGAAGTCCCCACCTGATAACCTTCGTCCGTGTCAAACGGGTGAGCTGCATACTGTGCGAGGATCTCTGATTGCGACATGACGATTTAGGAAGAAGTTGTTGGTAGCATCGACCGCTTTCGGACCTTGCGGGGTAAGCCGATCTAGATTAGATTTGTTGACTGATCGGGGCGGGCCGTGCGCTTATAGCTTCATGCTTATGAGGCAGCCGAATTCAAACCACACCTCCGTCTCGCCCGACTTGCGCTCGCCAGCGAATCCGTCTCCGACTACTCCGCTGAGCTCACTGGTCTCTATATATACACTAGCTCACCGATACCGCCTATCATCAACAGAAGACGATGACTGTCAGTCGTCTTGCTGCGGAACGGAATGCCAAGGCGCTGCACGAACTATCTTTACAGCCGGGAAATGGTTGGCATGTCTTGCTCTTGGCTGTCATGGCTCGTGCTGACCTCTACCAGATCGGTGCGCTGACTGCAAGACCCGGAATCCGCGATGGGCATCGCACAACCTCGGCATCTTCATCTGGTGCGCACGATCCGGTACCATACTATTACCGTTTCGTTGAACCTTTACCGTGTAGTGTACACTGCGCCAGCGTGCATCGCAAGATTGGCACACATGTCACCAAGATGTACGTTCTCTGACAACAGTATGTGAGGTGTAGATCTAACGCGAGTCTTCAGTAAGAGTCTGACACTCGATTCGTGGTCAAACGAGCAAGTCGAGGTGAGCTGCGAGGTTGCATCCGGTGCATCCGGGATACTCAATGAACTGCCCAGAATATGCGTAACATGGGGAATCGCAAAGCCAATGCACTGTACAACCCCGACGAAGTGCGCCATCCACCGCCTACCAACATGATCGACTCGGAGCGTGACAGCGAGCTCGAGAAGTTCATACGCAGTGCGTGAACTCTAGGTCATCGTTTCGTCCAGAGGCTCATACTCGTACTCTTCAGATAAATACGAATTCAAGAAGTTCATGAATCGCTCTGGGACCGCACAACCACCAGCGCCATCGGCAGCCAGAGCTCCTCCTCCAGCGCGAGCGGCAACTGCACCATTCGACGCGCATCCTACATTATCCCCGCCTTCATCCGCACCCGTCTCGTCCTCTTCGTTCGCGCAAAACCTGCCTCCCCAGCCAGCATCAGCAAACCCGTTCCCATCACAGCCTCAGCGCTCCTCGACTTTCTCACATGCTGCTGCATCAGCGCCTGCGAGACAAGCGTTAGCATCCGGCGCGCCGATGAGCGGAGCTATGAACGACCTGCTATCTCTGCAGCAGCCGCAGGCGCCGAGTGTCAATGCTACCCTGCCACTACAGATCTCTGCCTCAGCCCCGATGTCCATACCTGGTCAACAGAGTCTTGCGCCAAACTCGTACATGACGGGCCTGAACGGGTCGAGTCCAAACTTCGCCGCAGGATCCTCCCCGAACTTTGCTGCCGGCTCGTCACCCAACTTTGCCGCGGGCACGACTCCGCTATTTACTGGCGCGCCAAACCCATACAATGCCTCCCAGTTCCAAAGCGCAAGCCCGGCAGCGAACCCATTCTCGCAAATGATAGGTCAAGCTCAGCAACCGCAAGCGCAGCAGCCGTTTTTGTCAACGAGTATGCCTGGCAACGCTTTCCAGCGGCAGCCTTCGCCATTCCAGCAACCTTTTCAGCAACAGCAACAGCAGCCTTTCCAACCACAGCAACAACCCTTCCAATCACAGCAACAACCCTTCCAGACCCAACCTTCACCGTTCCAGTCGTCGGCTCAACCCTTCGCACAGAGCGCTCCGCCAAATCCTTTCTTTGCCCAGCAGCAGCAACAACAACAAACGCAGTACGCTGGTTCGCCGATGGCCATGTCGCCTCCACCTATGAACTCGATGTCGCCTCCGCCGATGAACATGGGGATGAACGGTTATGGACAAGCCCAACAGCCTCAGCAAACGGGCGCAAATCCGTTCACGAGTTGGATGACGCAGCCATCGGCTCAACAACAGCCTGGCTTCGCGGGTGGGCAACAATGGCGGCCGATGTAAGGGCGCCATTCCTCCTTTCCTGGCCTCTTGGACTCTTGGCTTGAGGCTGGAAAGATGGAGATCTGACCATGTATACCTGGGCGATGCCCTCTCGCGTCGCGGCCGGACGTAGGCTGTGGTCTGTCACTGTGGAGTGGGACTCGCCCGCCTTATTCCCGTTTTGTGTCTCCTCTTTGTTTATTGTACGCTGTGGAATGCTACGACTCTTTCTAGTGGATCAACCCCTCCTTCCATGTTCAAGCTTTGGACCTTGTCAGCGGGACACAATCCCGCGCAATTGTGACTGAATACGTAAGGGTGCGCTTTGTTCTCCCTTTGAGGACGCAGTCGCCAATTGTGCTGGATGCGATTCCTCCCGGCTTTGATGGTTTGGGCGGAGTTGGTAGTGCTGATGTGACCCCGAGCTAAAGAGACCTTCGTGTGTGCGCAACCACAAGGCAATTGCTTATATGTAGGCTGAGCATGAAGTTCGGCGGAAGCTCGCCCTCGGCCCCACAATCTCACTCTGCCTACTCTTTGCGCCGCGCATCCTCTCGCCTCTTTTCTCTATCTTATCCAGTGACAGGCTCACTGCTACGATTCATCTCAACGACACTCTGCATACATTGCTCACGCCTCACGCCGCGTCACCCACTCATTCACGTTACTCGAACATAAAACCATAATCAAGATGTCTACGACCTCGCACACCAGCTCCGAAGGGCACTCTTCCGTCCCGTTCCCGAGCACGACAAACACCTCGACCGACTCCCTCTGCGGCTTCGCATTCTCATTCGATCTCACCGGCGAGTTTCCGGAGAGCGGCGTGAGCGAAGCGGCTGTCCGATCCCTGCGCAAGGCGGCGCGCATCCTCGGCGAGCCCGTCGTGTTGACAGCCGAGGGCCAGCTTGTGCCTATCAACCTATCTGCTACGTTGCCGGACGAGGGAATGGAGTTTGACACGGAGGCGTGTCCGAAGGGAAGTTGGGGGTCTGTCAAGAGGCTCTTCCGGCGCAACGGGCGGGAGGGGGCAAGGAAGCGGAGGAAAGTTGAGAAGGAGAATGCATTGGGAGAAGTCGTGTACGAGTACGAGGTGGTGGTGGATGCCGAGGTCTGCGGCAGGGACAGTGCGGATGGAAGGAGTGAGGGATCGTGTGGAAGCAGACGTCCGTTAGTGGAGGCTGCTGGTCGTAGGGCCGCCGCGAAGGGTTTGATCAGGAAGTGACCGCAGATCTTTGGCCACGATTGTGTAGTCAAGCTGTGGAGTATTGTACTCCAGATGGCCTCATATACGTAATAGCAGAAACGCTTGCGGGCAGCCTTGCCCGTATCTCTAATGTGATACTCTGAATCAAACATGCAGAACAGTCGCCTGGTCAGGATGACTTGTGCACAGCTGAGCCCAGCTAGTTGAGAGACTGTACTGCAAGACGTACGGTACCATGAGTTTCAGCTGGTGGTTAGCGTGCTGATGGAATAGAGGCCCGCGGGAGCAGAAGAACACGCAGAAAGTTAGGGTTAGGGTCAGGCTTCAGCCCGTCGGCGTCGCGGCGCGGCGCGTGTCGGCGCGTTTAGTCTCAGCCCATCATCAGGCCGCCTCGGGGCTCTGGATCTCAATCTGAACACTCTAAACGTACTCACTCAGAATGGTGTAAATCAATCCTTGATCATCTCGGTCCATGGACAATGGCTTGTCTCTCACTACCGCGGGAGGTCCCGTACAGGCTATTTTCTGTGCGTATCATCGTGGCATATGTCGCCGGCGCTCATAGCTTCTTGGCACCTGGAACACTAGATGCTCCGGCTAATGACAGGGCACAGAAAGGCTCCTTGCCAGTGATGACTTCGGCAGATTATCTATGCTCCTCATCTAGTCGTTGCAACAGCTCCCGACCCGTATAAAACGTCTTCTAGCACGCGATTCCAGCGTGGTAGGCTCGTTGCATGATGATATCAGGAAGACACACCGCCGTAGCTCTACCTCCTCTGTACTCCCATCTGCTGCAACTATAACTGCCCACAGTACTCTATCATGAGGAGCACAGATGTGACAAGCCCACCAGTGCGTGCCTTCATCCATAATGCATACTCCATCTGACATGTAGTATCTATATTAGCCAGAGTATAAGACACTTCAGGATGAACCGCGTGATGATAGCCAACGAGCAACTCGGCATCAAAAGTACTTCCAGGGGGATGACATGGTTGTCTTGCAGGTTCGAATAGGTCGTTTCCTACCCCTGGTGAAGCTGACCGTTCATGGCGCCTGCGATAGGTCGAGAACAAGATTTTCCGTGTGTCCTCACGTTGGCTGAAAGCCAACTCACCTCGCATGCGCCGGTATCTCCAGGACTCCTCCACGACCGGGGCGAACGAGGAGCATCCGACGCGCATACCAGTCGTGACTGTCAAACACTTCGAGACACTCCTTCACTTTATCGAGAACGGGTCAGTCTCCGAAGCGACGTGCCATTGCACGCCACATACCCGCCCTGATACTTCCATATAGGACTATGAGCGAGTTCACCATGCCCGCGAAATCCTGGGCATACTTACTTGCGGTCTCCCACTTTCTCGAGATCACCTCAATCAAACCGCGCGCCGTCAACGAGGTCTTCTACAGGCACTATCGCTCCTTCGATCCAGTCGATCAGCTTCACTTCTACGAGGGATGCGCTGTTGATAGGGTTGCCTTGAAGGCAGCAGTGCGCCAACTGATCATACGCCCAGAGCCGTTGAATGCGAGTGAGATGGAGCGACTGTCGCACAAGTTGGCGGCGCGCGTAGTCGGCTTGCGCGAGTCTTTCTTGCGCTCTCAATTGCACACGTTTGGTTCTCTTTTTGCTGGAAGTGCGCTCGATGCTCTGGTAGATGGATGGGTGATGAATGGATGACGCGCTGTGCTTCCGCATACATTGTACATATCACTAATAAGACGAGGATCATGCCTAGCCTGTCGAATCTCTCTCAAGCCTTTCCGTCGTGCAGTCTTGCGGTGGGAGGGTGACCAATCTGGATGGGTTCGTTTTTGACATTTTCGTACGTTTCGTACGCGTAGGCGCGCGATCGGTGCCACTGGCGTCAGTGGCGGTATGGCTTGAGATGCTGCCGTCTTCACTGTAGAGCATGTTGCCGTACGTATCTCAATCAACACTAACTATTGCCATATTCGATGTGCATCTCATGCTCTTGCTCTCACACATCTGCCAATAGTCATCAAATGTTGATACGTGTCGTCAAAACGGCGTGTATGCGCGCACATCAGGCTCGCATCGCGAAGGCGAGACCCTCATGGCTCTCGACATCGTTGAGCCGCCCTGCTCAAATATCCCCACACGGCTTTGGATGTTGACAGATGGCAGATACACTCTCTCAGTATGTGCCCTGATGATATCATGATCCACAGAAAGCTCGCAGTCTGCCCGATTTGCCTCGTCTGCGCAGGCAATGACGATGGACTCATGCTGAAATATCACGACCCATCCTTTGTCAACGTCTCCCGTTCCTTCCTCGACGAAATCTCGAGGCGCGCATCCGCACGAGGATCCGACTTCTCAGGAAGTCGGGTTGCTTCTTCCCTTCCGTGTGCTGAGCAACCAGCCTTTGTCACCGTCCCAAGCAGCGCTTCGCGTACACACCGCGACCTCGCCGTCACTTCGAAGTGGCTCACGATACCCGGGTCCAGCGCGTGACGAGACGATCTCAGCAGTCTTATGGGGACCTGTATGTCCGATAATCCAGAAGGAGTAACTCGAGGGACATCTCCGCCACTGGACCTGAGGCTAACACATGGTCTGGAAGCAATGCAGTACGAGTGCCAGGGTGACGACGCGCCCTGCAGCGCGGAGTTGACTTGTGGCATTGTATTTGTGATATGAAGTTTTCCCGCCCGGACGGTCGGAACCTTCGTCGAAGCCAGGCTCGTCCTCTTATATTAGCCTTCGCCCAGGGCACCACATCCCGTCCTTCGCTTCCCTCCCCATCCTCGCACAGACCGAACATGAGCGTCGTAACCTCCCGTATGCGCGTAGACGAAGTGGGCCCTGCGGTGCGTACATGTTCGGCCTCAATGCGCAAGATCAAAACAATGCTGACAGTGCCAATCCTTCATGCCGTACTCTGCCCTGCCCGCCTGCTTACTTGCTGCCCTGCACTCTCCCACCCGCGCAGCCGCCCTACGGCCAACACCGACAACATGCACGATGCAAGCCCAGCGACTTGCTCGCAGGACCAGACGAGACGGCGTTGTTGAAGGTGTGCAGCGGACGTCAACTCCGGCGGTTCTGCCGTGTGATCATGCGCGCGCTCGCTGACTGGGCTTGGGTTTTGTCACAGGTCGAGGGTCGCCTGTTCAGCCTGAACGCTCGGTGGCTGAGAGCGAACTCGCACAAGTTCCAGCGACTGCGCAGGGCCAGCGCAAGTCCTTCCGATCTCTCGATAGCCCTGCCCGATGTAAACATACCGGAGATTGAGGCGCTGGAAGAGTTCATCGAGAACAGGCGAGTGCGATAGCGTTGTGCCGATGACTTGCGGTCATGCTGAGACTGCGATCAGTGCCAAGTCGTCCTTCTGGATGCCCACGAAGAAGTGGATCCACCTGCTTGCTATTGGGCATAAGCTCGAGGCAACGACATTACGCTCGTTAGCCGCATCCGAGCTCTTCCATGAACATGCTGTGCTGTCCCCTGTGGCGCAGTTAGCCTTGTACGAGGCGTATGACGCCCCTCGAGCCCCGTTAGCGAAGGCTGTACGGACCATCATCACAAGAACAGATCCGTTGGACGAGAAGGAGGTCTCGGGCTTATCAGACGGCTTGTTGTCTAGGTTAATCGCGATGCGGGAGACGTACATCCGCGCACAAGCAGGGCCAGTGGGATACCTGAAAGCGTCGTCGACGGCGGACGCGATCGTGGCATACTGGGTACGAACTGGTTGAGTGATGGGCGGAGAAGTGAACGCTTGAACCGAATGTACTTACGACATGACATGAATTCTTTCTCGCCCAGTTATGGACTATCATCACAACTGTCTGCACCCTTCGACGTAACGTTTCTAATTTCGATAACATGTCCAGACTGCGGTACTGTCCGTCAAACAACTCACGAGGAGCGCTTCTTGCGAAGCCACAGGGGTGACGGTCAGCTGCAAGACCAGCCGTTAAAACAGAAGAACACTGTCTGTCGCACGGACTATCTTCAGCCCACAGCCTTCCGACTGGCCACACAATCTATCATGCAAGCGCGTTGTCGCAGCATGCTATTCGCGCAAGCTCTGCCAACAACATGTCCAATCTTCTTTGATCCACAACTCCTACAGGATGCCAGCACCTGAGCTCTCAAATTCATACACCCGGGATAATATACAGCCCATTCGCCTGTTGTGCGCGCGGCCGGTCTCCGGCGGCATGATCATGTTTCATATGCATGGATCATAGGGGTACAGAGAGAAGTGCGATGGCAAAGCGTCGAGATGCGGGATAAACAGGCGGAGCAGTCGAGCAGGAGAAGGGGAATAATGGGATGGATATCGACCGCTTATGCGCGGCCGCCAGCCTTCTGCTGCTTGATCACGCGCTTGACGACCTTCGCCTCCTCGATAAGGAATGCGCGGACGACGCTGAAAATCAAGTCAGATTGAATGTATACCGAATATATATACTATCACGCACCGCGAACGAACGCAGTCACCGCAGCGCGAACCGCCATATGCGCGCTGGACCGTCTTGCGCGTCTTGCTGACCGTGGCGTACTCGCGCGGGCGGAGAGCAACGATCTACAATTTCCAGCTCAATATGCGGTTAATCGTCCAAATATTCTGCAGACGTACGCCGGGGAGCTTGATGCCGCAGTCACCGCACTTGGGGGCGGTGGGGAGCTTTTTGATGTGGTGGTAGCGGAGGATGCCGCCGGGAGTCTTCACCACGCGACGGCGGTTGCTCTTCGTGTTGTACGGCTGGCGCTTGCGGAGGGTGACACGCTGGGCCATTGCTGCTCTGTTCACAATCTCAGAATGGATATACGGGAAACGGTCATAGTTTCGGCGTACAAATTGAAGGGGGAAGACTATTCCAAGATTCAGTACACAGTCAGAGGTTCAGCGGGCGCGACGACGTACGGAGGGTCTTGAGGGGTGCCGGCGCCGATGAGCTCGAAAAGCTAGACGGTGTGTGCGCGAGCCAGGCGCGTCGGTCGCACGCTCGGTCTTCGCCGAAGATCACGTGTACTAGTTTCCCAGACTTTGCCCACGGCCTTCTTGTTCTCTCCTTCCACGACGACGAGCATGCACCCTATCGTTGTCTAATGCGGCGAATGATGATATCTTCGATCAGAGCAGGCGTATCTGCATTGCGTTGTACACGCGAATAACTCACATCTCTCCAACCGCGTTCGGCCTATCGGTGTTGCTGAGTATGCGGCGTCCAGTTTGCGTTCAGTGCCAGACCTTATCGCCCTGATCAACAAGAAGCAGCTCTGCGTCAAGCATGTTGTTCTCACACTGGGCGCCCCCTTCTCCACTTTGAATGCCACAACATCATAGCTTCTGTTACTACTCTTCTGCTCAGCATGCAATGAATCATCATGTGCTTCCGAGCCGCCCCCTGAAGCGATGTATATAGCGAGCTATAGGTTCCGTTGTCAGACACGTACCTATAAGAACGTGCTCGGCTCTACGTTGGGCATGACCATCGAGGGTGGTCTCCTTTACCCCGTATATCCTGTACCCGTTCCCCATTTGAATCGCGCTCGTTCTCTTTCTCGTCATGGCACTTGACGAGGCTAGCATGCATCGCCTAGGCCTCGGTTTTGTATATCGGATTATACCGGTTATTATTGTATCTATACTGTATGGTAAGCGGGAGCAGACCCACAATGTTTTCATCCGGTGGACTGAAACCCGCACATAGGTATCTATATCGCTATCCTTTGCGTCGCAACTCGCGGACTTCTGTACGTAAAGCTCCTGCTAGTCTGAGCAGAACGACACTGATCAACGTCTTAGTGAGCGGGGCCTCAAAGCTCGCGCGAACCTTTACGTTCTGTTAGCAATATGGCTCCTCTTCCTCTTCACCTCTACGTTGTGGTCACTGGAACTGGCCCAGCTCATCGGATTGGATGAGATCCTCCTTTCTCCGGACGGCCTTTCCCCGGATAGCCTCTTCAACCGTTTCTACAACCTTGTCGCGCGAGAGACGAAGGTCACCGGAGTGCTCTTTCAGTCTCAGATGATCCTAGGCGACATCCTCGTCATATGGCGGGCCAGCGCGATCTGGCATGATCGTCGCGCGGTTGTCTTTCTACCTCTGTTCTGGTGGGTCCTGATGATAGGTTAGTAGCATCCATGGGCAAAGTCCAGTCAGAAGTTCTGACCTGATCATGCAGTGAACTTGATCACTAATGCATCGCTCTGTGAGTCAGGCGTAGCGACAACCAAGTACTCGAAGGTATGCAAAGCGACAGACATCTTAGCGCCGACGCTCTCTATCATGGTCAACCTATCTGTCATGATCCTGATCATTTGGAAGGCCTGGTAAGTCCCACAGCTACGTTCACTCTCAATCGCCGACGGCGCTGAGCATCGTGATTGGCTTTCGCTTACAGGATCATGCGCGAAGTGCTACTAACTGCGTACCGCAACAAGAGGCACAACAAGATCTTATCTCTCTTCGTGCTGCTCATAGAGTCAGGGACGCTCTACGTCTGCGCTCTCGTCTCGGATCTTTTGGTCACGTCATACGTGACGGGCAACAACGAGACCATACAGCGCATGATTAGCTGCATCTCAGGTTACACGACAGTACAGTTCGTCGTGAGTACCGTATCTACCTCCTCATTATATGCTCCTGACATGACCTCGGTTACTCACAGGGCATCTATCCGACGCTGATGTTCGTTATGCTTCGCGAGTCCGTCTGGAATTCACAGGACGACGTGCAGTCGAGCCTCCCCAGCGGCCGTGGGGCGGAAGTGTTCACGATCACTGTCGGTAGTCAGATGCAGTTCGCATCGAGGGCCCAACGCGATGTTGAGCGCGATGTTCCGCTCGGCTTGGGTAACGCGAGCGAGACGGGCTCCTCAACGCAGGGAGATCTTTTCCATGCGACCACTGGCGGCGGGATACAAGAAAAGGAGAAGGCGCCGATGTTGTCTGGGTTAGCACTGTGAAGGTATCTCACTTGGGTCCTTTCCAGAGGAAGGCCTCGGGCATGTATTGGTGAACCTCTGACGATGTATCTCATCAATTGATATTCTGTAGATACATGATATTTAAGCTGCGTCGGAGCCATCTTCTCTCCACATAGTCAGGTCTACAGATGACACATGCTCCTTGAGTCTCTCAACATACAGCTCCCCTTCGTCCTCGGTCAAATAGCTTCCGCAGACGAACGTCAAAGACTGCAGTGGTATCCCAGCACGTGCACGAGAAGAAACCATCTCAAACAGGGGGTCGATATTATCGTCCCCGTAACACCGCACACCATCCTCCTCTAGCCAAAAGTATCCAACCATGTCGAGGGACAGATGCTCAAGATGTGGTACCGAGAGCTCGTTCACATCCACACGATCCTCCGCCCAAGCCGACGCCGGCACAGACAAAGCCAGCAGAGCGGCCCGTTCCAGCTCGCTCAAGCTGAGTGTAGTGAGGTTCTTCATAGCCGCGCATAAGCGTACAACATCCTCCCCGTTCGGGTCTTCGTCGTCGCACGAGATGTGAGCGGAGCGAACATCCGCGATAAAAGGGATCAGCTGGTCGATGAGGTGAAGGTACGCGACGCCTTGGTTCCACTGGCATTTCTCGTAGCGAACGTCGAATATAGGTCGGTGATCCTTCATCGTGTAGGACTCTCGTGTGAAAATCATGTCGTAGGGTCCCCGTGAATAGTGATGGCCTGGAGCGGACTCTAAGAGGCACCACGTTGCCTCACCGCGATCCCGTTTAGCGCCAACGACCAAACCGGAGATGACGGTCTGAGGCATGAGCTCTGCGAGACGTGATACCAGCCCCACCCTCTCATGAGCATGGAAGGGCGATACATCGAAACGTGTGTCTTCATGGAAGTAGTATGGGTCGCAGTCAAGTTGTATGCTCTCGATCGATGGTAGCGACAGACGCTGACAAAGTCTGTACGTCTCGCCTATCGCGTCGCGGGTGGATAGCTTGTTGAGCTTCGGAAGAACAACGGGTCCGACTTTGTGGGGAAGGGGGTCCGCGGACGAGGAGGACACAATGTTCGGAATGGTGTTTTCTATATGCAGCTGTTCAAGCTCAACGCATTCTTTCAGCATCTGAAGGAAGTCGCTGAACTGTGGCAGCGTCCTCTTCCAATCCAAAATCTCGTAGTCATGAGGGTAGCATGGACCCTTCAAATGAAGGACTGTGATGTTCTTGGTAGGGAAGGGTATGAAGACGTTGCTCAATCGCAGAGATTTGAGCATTGGTGCATTGAGAGTGGATAGATCCCGAACGTTGATGCGCTGGTGATTGTGAAAGGACAGATCTAGATGTTCTGCGCGGGGGAAAGGCGTGCTGCAAAGCGCGCGAGGATCGTTGGACCACTCAAAGAATTCAGTCTGCGGCTGGGCAAGAACCAGACTGCGAGTTCGGCTCAAGTTTTCCTTGGCCAGTTTGAAAAGCTCCGAATCGTACTGCATCATAAGGTCGCTGAAATGAAAGTCCAGAGGTGCGGATCCCGTGCGTGAAAGAATGTCGGCGCGATCCTCAGGTCTGACGATGAATAATAGCGATCCCCAAAACGCGCGTCTCCCCAAAACCACAGCACGCAATTGCTTGCATACATGGCCCATCTTGATGCACTCCCCGATGGAGGAAGTCTGGGCGTGCTCATCGAGAATCATGGCGAGAATCTCGAATGAAAGGCGCAGAATCGGCGGCGAGGTGTGAACGTTGACATAGTGCTGAATCTCTGCCGCCAAGTTCAAAAGAGCTGTCCGATCGGCGGCGAGGGAGGAGACGTAGTCAGGCGGGCAGTCGCTAGATTTGACGATGGCAGATATCTCGTTAAGGCGCTGTTCGGCTGGTGCGGCGAGCCAGGCAGGTGCAGTTGAGGCGACGAACATGCGTTGTGGAAAGTAAGGAGAATGAGAGGACCAGGTAATGTTGGTGGTGCGGCGGCGACTCGGATGCTGGGAAGCGGAGTTGACAGACCGAACAACTAGGCAGTTATATAGCTTTTTCCATGTGGTCGTGGTTACTGCTGAAAGAATAACCACCCACGATCTCGGCGCATACACAACGAGGGCGCCACGGCCCACATTAGGGATATTTTGTCTTCCTCTATCTATATTTCAAATTAAGTCCAATATATACCAAAGCATGGTCCATTCTCTGACGCCGCGCACTGCACAACAAGAGACATCACGATTCCTAGAGACGAGCTTACGTCGCGAAGACGCCAATGATTTTGAAGGGCGGGACCGTCTGACCCTCCTCTCCGAGGAGCTCACACTCCACGTAGTGTGGGCCACGTGCCACCCAGTGGTCGATCATTTGCAATCTGTCATAGAACAATGAGCCTATGGGCGAGTGGATCCGGGAAAGAACACGCACGCAGGCTCGGGCTCAAGTGCTGAACCAATGTTTGAGAATGTGACGCGCCCTTGGACGTTGTCGTCGACCCAGCATGCTACCCTGCTCCCGCCTTCCGCGCCCAGCACGGCTGCAGGTTCGCGTACATAGTAGATCCCAACATCGCCAGCACCCATGTGTAATGGTACACGCAATCTACTCTGCGGCATTGAAGCAAACCAATAATGGCTTGCACTATCTGCTGCACCACGTGCTGCCGCGCCGGAGGGGTGATGGGCGCTCCATCCGCTACCGGCGAACAAGCTGGGCGGCAACGGATTGACAAGATCATTCGCGCTGGCGCAGTGCGGCGCAATCTCTTCGTATGCGCGTTCGCTGAGGTCGGCAGGTCGTGCGCTCAAGCGGGCGCTAGGTACACGGAAGTGGGCTGCGAGCGCCGAGGGCGCCTGTGCCGTTGGTGCGCGGTTCTCCTCGTCCTCTTCTGGCCCTCGCACCCCGGCACCGCCGAAGAGTTTGCGTGCATCAGTCGGCTGCTTTTCTTGCTCCGGTCCTCCACCCAGTGCGTAATACACCGGCAACTGGGCACCTCCGCCCGAGACTGCCGCCCAAGCGGTGCACACCTGGCTCTGAATGTACCCGACGAGAACATCCGAGAGGACAGAGTGGCCATTCGTACTCGCGAGGATAGGATCCGCGTAATATTGAGATATCGCGCTCGGGCTGGTGACGTATGGTGCATAGAGTGCGGATTTCGTCGAGACATGCGGAATGTCGTAGTATTGAGCGACGACGGTATGCCAGGTATCGGGACCAGCGAAGCCATTCTGTTCCTGGATTTGCGGAGAGAAATGGCCGAGAAGAAGGATGGCGGGCGAATCTGGCCGTAAGAGGATAGAGCGCACGAGAAGCTCGAAGTGATCAATGGTCTGCTTGTCTCTGTTATCATGTTAGCGCCAGGCATGTTGGAACAGAATAGGGGACACGAACGCTTTGTCGTCCGTGTCGAGCTCGATTATCACAAGGTCGGTATAGTCAGGTAGGTGATGGCCGGCACAGAAGGCAAAGTACTCTGAGTTCGTCTTTCGTAGTGCTCCATTCGTGAGTTCGCTCGCCGGATGTGGAAATACGGTGTTCCACCAGTCAAAGAACCGGTGTGGGTAGCATCCTGCCGCAATTGGGTCGTCCCCTGCGCCGTGACATGCAGACACTGAGAGGGCGTCAGAATGACGGATGCTGAGAGAGATAACGCGGACAAGGCGTACCAGAACCGCCCAAGACAGATATTGTTACAGGTTGCCCCAACATCGCTTTGTGCAACACTTTCTGGATGCGCGCGCCGCTGCCCAGATGCAACCAGCTCTGGCTGATAGTCAATGCGCCATATCGCGCGCTGAGCTCATCTCCCTCCCCGAATGTCGGGCAGAACGCGAACGGATTTTCTCCATGAGCTCCTGAGGCGTTGAGATAGTTGTGAGGTTTGAGGGAGGATGTGTATGCGGATGAATGTGACCGCAAGTAGTATGATGCATCGGAGGTGTGTGCTGGGAGAACTAGCCTCGTGAAGAGTATGAGGCTACCGAAGAGGCCAACGATGAGCCATATTCGATTTGGCAGGCCGAATGTACGCGCTGATAGCCGTGAGACGGGCTTGTCCAGCCCTGGCGCGATCTGGGAGGCCGGGATGCCTGGTGTGGGCGGTGCAAGTAGTGGAGACGAGGGGACCTTGATCACCGTCCGGCGCTGCATCCTCGTAGTCGTCGCGGCTGGAGGCAAGGCGCGTGCAGGCGCGCGTCAGACAGCTGCCAGACTCCTGCCAGCGTGTATTGCGGCGATGTTGACTTGTTCGGTCTCATGCTCCTTGTCCGGAACGTTCATCATGAGAACGCGCCTGAACGCGCTTCCCTTCGCAGGCGCCTCTTCGACTAGACTGCCGCGGTATCCCTCTTTCGTACATGACGCGCTCCCTGTGCAGGGCCTGCGTCCTCGATAAGTAAGACAATAATGTGACGGTGAAGCCCAGTGTGGTTCGTAGACGCGTGGATCCGCGCGCGGCGCGAGTCCGATCACCGTCAATTTCGCTCAATGGCAACCACCTCAACTCAACCACCGCCCGATACCTATATAAGTACATCTCAACGACTTTTGAAGGGCAATAATACGACTCCTCTGCTGAGGCTCACTGTCCCACCACCAGTCATCATGGTTCATCGCGACTGTGATAGCACTCTGCCTGCTTGGGCTCAAGCATTGACGTCGCCAACGAATGGAAGGTCAGTCGCGTTCTTATCTCACCATAAGCTCGTTTCTAACGCGGTTCTCGCCAGAGTCACTTCCACTGCGTATCCGAAAACACACTCTTTGACGCTCATGAAGCTCGCTCAAACCGACCCGGCGCAATTTGTACGGCGTTGGCGATCGGCGTACCGTACACGTTCCCGTTGTGCGCTCGACAATGACGAACTATGGGCCATGACACGTGTACTCGCACGCATTGCGGATGATATTCTTCGCGAGGTCCAGATATTTAGCGAAGCCTACCTGAGGTCGATGGATTTTCTCAAGGGCAATACCTATCCGACATGGGATTCCCTCGTCAAGTTCGGTTTATGTTCGTTGTGCGAAGAGGCGGTCGGCGCTTCGGATTTCTTTGACGAATACTCGGTACGCTGGCCACCCTTTCGCGTCTTGATCGTCCACGCTGATGTCAAATCATAGTATTGGGTGATGGACATGGTGCAGGTCATGGACGGCCTTATGTCTTACTCCAGATACCTCTTTTTCCCACTCCGGGATCGATCCGTCGCTCTGTACGAGGCCACTTATCAGCTAGCACCGAAACTATGGACCGCATACTGGGCTCACCGGCACCTACTGTCTGACGGAAATGCTTTGGAGCGCGTCGTGTCTGGGCTTGCTCAGCATTTGCGCCTTCACCTTCGCAGCATGCTCTGCTCTTATCGTCTTTGTACCGTGTACGTGAGATATGCAACAGTCCATAGTTGACGCGGGGCTGACCGTTCGACGTACAGTGACGACCCTCGCCCGCCCCGTAAAGAAGCTTTGCATGAGCCAGCATTACACATCATGTGCTGGATGCGCCGTGACGATCCCTGGCCCTGCCGCTTTGAAGTCCAAGGCTCATTCGCCTTCCTAATCCTCATGCAGCCTAGAGAAATTGCGCGGTTCATCGAGAACGACATCGTCCAGGTATATGGGGCTGAGTATTACCTCTCGCGCCTATGCTTTACCTTACGAGATCCTCACGTCGACGATCAGTCGCTCTGCGCCATACTTGGCGCTCACCAAGCGATATTCTCGAACAAGGCTTTCAGTCCTCATCTTGTCGCCACCGGATTCCTTCGCGCATTGTGCGGCCTGCTCGAGCGCCAGCGTACTCGGGAGTACTCCGAGCCTGGCATGATATCTGGCATAGCAGAGTATGTTCTCGACATGATGCGGTTCGTCTTTCCTCGCACTGCTTGAAAGAGCAGAGTCTGACTGTTACATAGATTTATCACGGAGGAAGTGCCACATTCGGACGGTGCAGCTATTCTCATACGGGAACACAACCTGTTCCGCCTTGTCGCACGGTATATATTGCTGCAGCTCTCGAAGACGCCGACTGTACACGGACGTGAGTTGATAGCTTCGAATATCCTACTATTACTCGGAAGACTGATCATGTGTATTCAGAGAAATGCGCTATCAGCATTTGTAGTGCTTACGAGCGAATGGGACAGCGCCTTTCGGCGCGGCCCGGCAAGAACCCGCTATGCAAAGACTTGCAGCACGCTCTTCGCCAGGAATGGGCGCCGTTGTTCATAGCTCTTGACAGCCTCCTCCCGACGCTTGATCCCATCAATGGGCGGCCAATCATAACGAACGTACGTAAGGCGTGGTGGAGGTTGGGCAATATCGGCGCGGGTTTAGACGAGGAGAAGGAGAAGAAGGAGTACCATAAGCGCGCGGAGAAGATGTGCTCCTGGGTAGCGTGCGACTGGCACACTGTTGAGCTGCCCGTGGCGACTAAATTGTGCAAGGGCTGCGGTGAAGTGGTGAGCACGCGCGTCCACGTTCACATTATGTTAAGGCTGACCACTCGAGTAGAGGTACTGTAGTGCAGCATGTCAACAACTGTGAGTCGGGTCGCACTACTTCTCGTTCGCGCTCCATGATTAACGACCATTCTAGGGACTGGAAGAGCGGTCATCACAAGCAAAGGTGTCGCAGGTTGAAGGACGCGCCGCATCACGCGTAATGACCTAGGTATATAGCTCCCGAGGGAGATGGCTTGTACTAGTAGAGCTTGTATCTGTGACAGAATGTGAAGTCTTGAAATAGCACATGTACACTCAATGTAAATAGGCGTCGCGCATGAGCCTGACTCGCCGAGTGCACGCGGGTACCAGTCGCGTACCAGACACCTCGGCGTTTATCGCGGCGATGTCGACTTGCTCGAACTATGTTCTCATGCTTCTTGTCCCGAACCCTCATCATGAGTGTCCTCCCGAGGCTCGGAACGGCGCAATTATGATACATGATCCAGATCATACTTCGTTGTTGACTGTGGGGATGGACAAGCTCGTTTCGACTCCTACCATCCCACCTCTACGCCACGGATCCGCCAATAGCGTCCCAACGTTCTAGGCATTGCCGAACTGTACTGCATCTGCGCTCGAACGGTCCACTTGCAGTACTCGCGATATACGTGGAGCGGTTCAGGGAAAGCAAAAGCTCCTAACGCACGGTTATTTGGTCGAATCTTGGATGCGGAGGATGAGGCTATAGGTTCGCCACAGTCCCTCGCACTCGTCCTATCGCTGATCTTGGTGATTATCCTAGGGTGACAGTTGCCACGGCCTACCATTCCCAGACCTGACGAGACTTTGTGGGAAATAACCAACTCTGAACGTTCAACGTACGCGGCCAGGTCATCCTGTGAGGTTTACTGGCCGATATGGATGTTGATGACTTCAAGTTAGATCTCAATGACGCCGTAATAGATGTCACTAGGGTTCGCTCGTTCCTTAGCTGCCCACTTCGACAATAACGTCAATTCCACGGTATAGTGCGGTGCCGCAGCAACAACAGTTAGCCGACAATCGCTACGCAGCACGACGACTTTCCCAAGAGACGAGTGCGAACGGGCTATTCGAACGCCGTATCTTTCTGCTGGCCTATGCTTAAGCCGGGCGTGCGTACGGGCTCACATGACTGCAACGCCATTCCAACGCATCCTACATACACCCGGCCTCGAGGACCAAACTATGAGACGGCAGGGGGGCATTCTGTCAATCATATAAGCCTCCTCTCATAGCCTTCATACATACCTCCCAATGCATGATTCCAGATACAACGCGTTAGGGAAGTCATGTCGTCATTTGTGTCGTAGGGTTCAGGGTATGGGCACACGACTCAGCCTTGCCGGAGCCTCGCCAGTCACCCTGGGCCTCATGTGAACCAACACTTTATCTGGTACATATACGCCAACATCCATGGTCCTTTCGGGGTTTTTATCAGTCAGTCCCATGTCGTCAAGCAGGACACCTACCAAGCGCCCGCCCGATCTGCACATCAAACGTGATGCAGATTTGGGTGCTCAGGTCGCGGATGCTTCTCCATGGTGAGTGCTCGTACGTCTCCTACATTCTACGTTACGGTCCAGATAACTCTATGTGCCAAATGCTGATGGAATCGCAGCGCATCCGTCCGGGGACGGCATTCGCCAGATAAGAGATACGATCTGGATAGGGAGTTTGAAGACAACACCACGCACACTGTTGTAGCGCGGCAGCCGCTCAAGAGCCACAGCACGACGCGTAAAGGAACACGTAGACGCGACAAAGAGCACGAGCCTGCGTCTGGAGACTGCGTCAGGACCTCAGAGTACTTTTCCCCAAGTCAGCTCGATGTTCCCGATGGTGTCGAGCATCCGGAGGGTTCTGTAGCTCGTCTGAATGCATCGCATCCCGATGCTGACTCGAGATCGCACTCCAGCATCTCTATGAGTACTCAGTCCTATCTAACCTTTTCGGGAGCTTCTCAGTCGTTATGGGCGTCCGACCCCATCAGCGAACGCCAGGATATCAAGTCGATGTCACCACCGCCTGAGAGTTTGGAGAGTGGCTCCGCTCGAGACTCTAGCGATGCACAGGACGAGAAGAGCCCGCCCTCGGATATCGATCCTCTTGTCGCTGCACGCGACCTTTCCGGACGCGACATTTTCCACAACATGTTGGAAACACTCAATCTCTTGTATGCCAATCAGCTCAGCATGACCCACGTGCTGGAGCGATTGCGTCGTGACAGGCCCCCCAGCCTTGAGCTCGGGAAACTGTCAGAGCGTCTTGCGAGTATTGAGGCCTTGTTACAAGGGGTCAACATACTAGCACAGCCCCCGGGGAGCCTGCACGGTGATCGCGAGATCAATTCCGAAGATATTCCCGGGCAAGATATCGGTGGATCTGTTGTTCGTGATGACCCTTCTCCTGATGACGTGGTATGTCCACTGCCTCCATATTCATCTATTCACACTGCTTACACCATCTCCCATAGCCTATCTCCCAGATGTTACCATTACTTTTGGAAGTGCTTGCCACTCTCAAAGTATGTCTTATTCACATTTAGATCCGCTTTAAGCTAACAGGCATCACTGTCAGGACTTACTTCCACAAGTTCACAGTATCAATGCGTCTGTCATAGAACTGAAATGCCAACGGGAAAAATCATCTGGTGCGCTGCCAGGTTGTGTCCTGGGACGGCGAATGGACTTAAGGCTAACTGAGATGTATGTAGCACCTGGCAGGGCAAGTTTACCACCACGCAGCCCTGGCCAAACCTACTGGTATGCAAAAAGGCGCCCGCTTAGGCACGCCGGTAGCGATGACAGGACATGATACGATGCATATTCTTCACGTTCTTGGCGCACCAAGATGTATTCTGCGAATCCTTCCTCTTGTATTCTCACTATGTTCAGCATCTGAGAGCACGGACTCTTTTAGTCATTACAGTACTTGTACCGCTGGAGAAACCCGATGTCATTTATGTAAGCTATGACAGAATAGATAACTCATTTGGTCAAACACCAACATGTACAAACGGTGCCCACTTCACAAAGTTCCTTTCTCCTACATATTCCCTGAGAACTCTGACCGCATGATGTAAAGCATATGCCGCCCATGTCCTTCCGCGTCCATCAGCGATATGAGATCCGCGAAGCTCGAGTAGCTTCTGGTAGTATGCCTGTACAACTATGGGCGCATCCGCATCGGTGATGGACCACATCGTCGCAACGACACCTCTGAAGCCGACTGCCAGCATGCCGGCCGCAAGGTGTGCAGACTCCTCCGGGATCTTCTCGTCTCCCGCCGCAGTTTGACACGCCGACAGAAATGCCAGCTCAGCGTCGTCGGAGACAATGTTCATGAGGTCAGAAAGCGTCAAATAGCCGTCGTACAGCGCGAAGGCGCTCTGCGTGGGGTCGTCGGACTTTTGTAGTCCATGACAGGCGAAGTGAAGCCAAGAGTGAGCGCTCAAGATCTTGCGAGTCTCTGCTACAGTGGCGGCGTCATGTTCCAAGAAGCGACTCTCGGGTAGCAGTTCTCGCAGACGAGCGCACTCATTCAATGTGCCTCGCAGTGTAGGCCATCCTGGAGTTGCTGGCTGCGTCACAACCAATAGATCTGGCTGCGCAGTTCGCCTGTGCCCCTTGCTACAACGAAGGAGCGCAGCGAGGGACGGTATGTAGGACGATACGACATAATCGTATACATGCGGCTGATCGTCGCTTGCGTTTATGAAGTCGAAGCTGCCCGCGGCGTGAAGCGGCAACTGCGTGAGTGGTCCTGTCGGACACCACGTTACATGCGGGAGACGAATGAAGCTATCTGCATTCACCTGGCCCATGCGTTCAATACTCATAATCCGCGAAAGTAGAGCCTGGACATACCATGCCCATCCCAACCAGGATCGGAGATACGACTAGCGTCCACAAACTTTTCAAGACATAACCAAATTCGTCCGTCTGTCCTGCAATCATGAGCCTCTGGGGGGCTATCACACCTCGATCTCGGGAGGCCGATGAGCGAAGGCATCTTATCCAGGCCGCGCGCAAAGCGCCAGCTCGCTCTTCCGTCAGGGAGTGAAGTGGAATGTGCTGTATGGAACCATTCGGCGAAAGCACCAAAGCGTCGCATCTAGATGTGTTGATATTGATGAAGACGACCGGTCCGTCGATCTGCTCGATGTCTTCCAAGAGACTCGCGATCTTCGGCGAGCGCAGAAAGTCATGAAAGCCGGCGCATTGTCGAACCTCACTCAAGATACGCTCGTAGCGGTTGACGAGCTGTCGGCGTGTCTCGACCGTTGTTTCAACGGGTTGATCGCCGGAGCCAGCGATTGATCCGCTGATCGGAGCACAGTGTTGAAGATCCTGCGCTACCTCCTTCAAGCGCAGGGCGAGATCTGAGTGCTCGGCCTGCAAATCGTCCAGGGGTGTTCGCAGTGCCAAGATCTGTGACCAAACGAGGGATCTGCCCGTCTCCATCCATTCAATGGCCTGGTATCTCGAATCGAACTTGATGAAGGCAGCGACTGCAGCGTTCACAAGGGTTCCAAGTTTAGCGGATTCTTTGTATCGGCGGTCGACGTTGTGGCCGAGCCATACGATCTCGGGGAAGACCTCGATGATCTGCGAATGCGCGCGCAACAGGGAGTCTGCAGAGCCGAAGTCGTTGTGCTCGGACAGCAGCGAGACCACTTCTTGTGCAGACTCCAGACGGATCGTAGGATCGCCGAGAGGCTCCATCGTAACCTTCATAAGACACGTAATGGCCGCATCGAATCTCAGCTTGCTCTTGGAGTGTTTGAACAGTGCCACCAAAGAGAACCCCAGCTCCTGTAGCTGAACGACCCTCTGAGGGTGGCCGCTAGGTGTATTCTCAATAGTGCGTCTTTGAAGCTGAATGGCGCGTTCGAGATCACCAAGATCGCCCTGGCTACCGAAGCGGAGGCGAAGGCTGATTCCGAGGTTGAAGGCGCATATGTGCTTTTGAGGATAGTCAAGTGACTCGGTGAGATCCACGGCCTCTTGTTGTAACGCGATAGCACGGTCCAGATCCTCTTGCGTATCGCAATGTTGGAAACGGAGTTCGAGGGCGACGCCGAAATGGTCTAACCGCGCGGGTCGCGCAGGATGATCGGGCGGTGTCAGCTCAAGAGCTGACTCGTGCGCCTCGATAGCACGATGAAGATCCTTGAGGTCCTTCATACGCTCGTATCGAAGGACCAATGATAAACCTAGAGTTTCGAGCCGGGCAGGTCGCGAAGGGTCCCATGTGGGCGTGAGATCAAGCGCAGACTGTTTCGCAGTGATAGCCCACTCCAAGTCTTCAAGAGTGCCTAGGCGCATCGCTCTCAGGGAAAGGGAGGTACCGAGGCTGGTGACTCGCACGGGCATCTGGGGGTCCTTGTCAGGTGTGAGCTCAACAGCTCTGCGTTGACTGCGGATCGCTCCCTCGAGATCCTCGAGTTCATACAGGCGCTCGAAACGAACGCGCAGAGCGAGTCCGAGGCTATTGAGCCGCACAGGCAAAGCGGGGTGCCCGTCCGGCGTGATCTCGACCGCGCAAGAAAGCTTCTCTATGCCGCTTCGTAGATCGATTAGTTCGCCGGAGCGCTGAAAGCGAGCCAAGAACGAGTTCCCCAGGTTGTTGAGAAACCTGGGCCGGTCGGGATGATGGTCATTTAACGCAAGCTCGGAAGCGCGATGTTGAACTTCGATGGCGGTTTGTATGTCATGCATGTCTCCTCGCCGGTCATATCGGACGGCAAGGGAGTTTCCGAGGCTATCGAGACGTGCGAGTAGTTGAGGCTCACAGTCGGACGTGACGCTCACTGCTAACTGCTGCACCTCGATAGCGTGCGCGAGATCGTCGAAATCACCACGACGTCGAAAGCGAGTGTGGAGAGCGAGTCCGAGAGAATCCAATCGGGCAGGTTTGCTGCGTAGTCGGTCTTTGGGAGTTAGGTCGACAACCAGGCGATACGAGTTGACGGCCCGCTCAAGATCGTTGAGATGGTTGTGTTTCAGATAGCGAGTCCACAGCGCGTATCCCAGACTGTGGAGGCGATCGGGCGCTTTCGGGTGACCTTGAGGCAAGCTGTTAACGGCGTGCTCTCGCGCTGATATAGCGAGGTCGAGTTCGTCATCTTCATGGCGACTTGTAGGAGCATGCGGTTGCCGATCCATGATCTGATCCGGGCATCAGTGAGGATACCGGTACATCTGCCAATATAGAAGCACTCACAGTACTGCAAGTCCGATTGACGTCCGGAAAGAGAGCGGGGTAAGTGTCGATCAAGCATCGCATACGACGATGAAGATTCATGTATGGTCGTCATTCAACCCTGAACCCTTGTCAGTAGATATGAAGGATGACGTGACGATCGCGTTCACGAAGAGAAGGGTGGAGCAAACGCGTGTAGGACTCCGGTCACACACGACACTGGTAAAGGAAACGAACGTAGCAATCATCATTTGCATAAGGACAGCTGCACGGTATGCGACAATAATGCGTCTACAACCGAGGCATGAGGAAAAATCATGTCTAGGGCTGGGCGTCAAAGCGCTTGAAGTCGTGCTTCTCGTACACCTTCATCTTGCGACCCTTGCTCGGCCTACAACACGCATCAGCAACAGCACGACGTAAAACACAGAGAACCACGCACTGTATCTGCGCTCTGGGCTCGACGAGCGCCCTCTGCTGCATACTCACAAACCTATCCCTCCACAGACTCCCCTCGACCCTCAACCCCCTCAAACTCTCACTCAGCTCCTCGCCCAACTGCACATCCACCTCCCCCCTCGGCACCACATGCTTCCCCAACCTCACGCCCCCCAAACCCGCCCTCAACCGCGCCAACCGCGCCTCCTTCCTCTGCGCAGCGCGTAGAGCAGCAGCGGCCTGCTCTTGGGCCGTGAGCTTCGCGAAGCGCCGCGCAGAGTCGACTTGGGCGGATAGGCGCTTGCGCGCGGCTTTTTCGGCGAGGGCGCGGGCGTCGAGTTTGGCGCGGAGGGCGCGGCGGCGCTGTTGTTTCGTTTTGCGCGGGGGGAGCTTTTTGACGAGCGTCTCGCCTTCCTCAATTTCCACGTCCTTCGATGCGTCGAGGTCGTCGAGGTCCATCCCCACGCCCGAGCCGACGCCATGATTCCGCGCGGCGAGAACGCGCGCTTTGAACGCCTCTTCTTTCAGGCGCTTTTCTTCGCGCTCTGTCTCGATTGAATGGGCTTGGAGGAGTAGCTGGGTATGCGCTTCTGCGGGCGGGTTGTACGATGCGCCCGCGTGGGGCGCTGGGACAGCTGGAGCAGAGATCTGCGAGCGCGTGTGGGAGAGATTGGGCGCGCGGGAGGGCGGGAGAAGCGCGTTCGTCGACGCGGGCGCGAAATCGGCTTTGGGGGGCGCGGACGAGGTAGACGGGGCGCCCCAGACGTCGTACGTCCCCTGCTTCGCCGCGTGGGAGACTTCGAGCAGCGCAGAGCCCTCGCCCTGGCTCGTATGGTCCACGAGCGTATTCAAGGGCCCTTTGCGGTCCTTCTTCCCGATCCGGAGCAGGCGCTCTTTTTCGGCGCGTGTCAGTTTTTGTTTGGTGGAGGACGAGGGGGTGGAGCGGGAGTGCACGGCTGGGACGGCGGAGCGTTGGGCGAGGATTTTGGCCGCTGTAAGGGAGCGCGTGGACAGTTTTGGGAGCCGTTTGCGGACTGTGTGGGGAGTATGAGTATTTTGATTAGATAAGAAGAGGGAGGGCTTGCCTGTGTCGTCGCCGGCTGTGTCGACTACGAACAGGTCCTCGTCTTTCTTTCTGTGTAGTGCAGACCTGTAGCACAGTCAATATCAGAGTGAGATAAATAAATGATGGACATACCCGAACTGCCTCTCCTCTTCGCGGACCTCCTCCAGGCCCTGCTCCACCTCGTCCAAATCGACATTCTTCCTCCACGCCTTCTTCCCCTTCCTGCTCCCCTGCGTCCTCTGCGCAGGCGCGCCCACGACGCTCTTCGCCTTCTTGTCGTTGTGCGCGACGGCCATGGAAGCAGAAAAGAAAGAATGATGTGGGAATCTGCACGTGCGCGCCTCCTTCTCCGCGCCGCGCGTTCGCCACACGCGCTTGTTCGACGACGATGGACAGTATGGACCTCGTCTACGACGCCGGCATCGAGCCGGCGGACTACCTCGACCAACAAACTAGTGCACCGGCTCAACAGACCGCGCGCCCGCCGACGATCGTGCCCGTCGACGCTGCGTACCCGTTCGACCTCGACGCCCGCCTGTCCGGCCTCACCGGCCGCGCCGCGCTCGACCACCTATCGCACATCATCCAGCACGCGCCTTCCTTAGCTCACGACGCCCTCCAACGCGCCCTCACGCTCCTCACGCTCCCCGACCAGCGCGATCCGACGCTTCTCAACACGCTGACGTCGTCGTATACGACGGCCACCGAACGCGCCGCGTCCATCGGCCTCACGCTCCCCGCGTTCCCCGATGCGCAGACCTACGCGTCGTGGGCGCTTAAACTGACAAAGGAGAACGACGCGCAGCGGGCAAAGCTGGAGGTGGAGCTCAAGACGTACACGCAGAACATGATCAAAGAGTCCATCCGCCTCGCGCACCGCGACCTCGCCGCGCACTACGCGTCCACCGGCCAGCCCGAGTTGGCGTTGAGGCACTACACGAAGAGCAGGGAGTTCGCCGGCAGCGCGCAGCACACGCTCGAGATGTGCTTGGCCGTATTGGCGCTGCTGATCGAGGGGCGGAGCTTCGCGCATGTGAGCACGTACGTCTTCAAGGCCGAGAGCGCGCTCGACGCGCCTGCGCCCGGCGCGTCGGCGGGAGGGAGCAAGCGCGACAAGAACGCGGACGCGAAGCTGTCGCTCGCCACCGGTCTCGCGCTCTTGAACTCGCGCGCGTACGCCAAAGCCGCGCAGAAGCTGCTGACGCCCGGCATCAACACGATCACGCTCGCGCCGTGGACTGGCACCATCATCCACCCCGGCGCACCGGGCGTGTACGCTACGCTGTGTGCGCTGGCCACGCTCGACAGGGCCGAGCTCAAGAGGCGCTACTCGAGCGGCGATAGTGTGCTGGGCGAGGGGCCGGGGATGAAAGAGCTCATCGACGCATGGCTCGGATCGCGCTTCCGCGCCGTTATAACGTTGCTCGACACACACAGCACCGCCTTCGCGCTCGACCCCCTCCTCGCGCCGCACGCACCCGCACTGGCCTACCAGATCCGCGCACGCGCTTTGGCGTTGTACTTTAGACCGTTCAGCACGATCAAGCTCGAAAAGATGAGCGCCGCGTTTGGGTGGAGCGTGACAGAGACAGAGAAGGAGGTCGTGAGTCTGATCAAGACTGGGGAGATCCAGGGGAGGGTGGATAGTAGGGAGAAGGTGCTCGTGGCGAGGAAGAAGGATCCGAGGGCGAGTCTGTATGAGAGGGTGTTGAAGGCGGGCGACGAGATGGAGAGGCAGACGCAGGGCGTGTTGTTGAGGATGAAGCTGTGAGTGTTGCCTTTGTGCTTGGGGAGGGGTTACTGATGATGCGTGTAGGCAGCAGGCAGATCTTGTTGTGCGCAAGTCGAGTAATGAGCGCCAGCAACAGCAGCAGCAGCAGCGGCAGCAGGGTCTACCGCCGACCGCGCCCGAGTAGATACGTATGAAGTTTGTGGATCGGACGAAGATACCGCGTGTATGCATGTACTATAAACTCGCATTTATCTCTTGCAACGACTGCTTTCTTGCTCATCACGCCGCTTGAGCCGTTCAGATGTCGGACCTGCGATTGGGATCAGTCGCCCGGATGAGGCGCTGCAGAACTGTGAACAAGATAAAGAAGACAAACCCGACTGTCGCTCGAGGTATATGTCAGAGTCAATCGCTTCTTCTCGCACAAGCTCTTCACAGACCTGATGAACTGGAAGCGCTCCTCCTTCTTGTCACGTTGCGCTCCCGTTGACATCCCAGAATCCGCGCCCTCAGACTCACTCAAGAAGGCGTATTCGTCGGGGGACGTCGGTGCGCATTGGTCGGAGTCTGCCGTTCCGATCTACTGAGCTCGCATCGAAACTCCGGCGTTGGCCAGGAACCTAATAGCGTCTGTAATATTGGTTTAATATGTAAACGTACCTGAGCTTGTAAAATACAATTACTAGATATATCACGTCGAACGAACCGACGACGTTCTCCGACGATCCATTCGACCAAACAAACGCATCGAGTCGGTTCGACGCTGCTTTCCTGGCACCTCAGCATCTTACTTGTCCTTTACATCAACTGTTAACGCCATGCAACGAGTGAGAGCTCGTAGTAGGGACGAGTACTGCCTGTAGATTGGGAGTGGAGGGAAGTTCCCACGGTGTATGTGCGTCGGAGTCGGTCGGTGCATCGCGTCGGACTCGCGCTTGCGTCTTCCGACGACTGCCATCTTGCTCAACACGCTCAGAGCAGCATTCTAAGCCTCTCTAGCTGAGATGGCTAGATACTCTTGCTACATCGTCGACGAAGGGTGTACTCTGCGAATTCTAGGGCGTCACCGACGCCCGCTGACGAGCACCGAGCCAAACCGACGCGTCGGTATGTGTCGGTTTGCTACATTGGAGGATGACCATTTGGCTAACCTGTCACTGCACCGTAGGAGTACCGTAACGAATCTCCTTTCTTGAAATGGAGTAGAATCTGCTCGTTGCCTGCTTGAGAATGGGCATTATGCGCGCCCGCACACCTCGAGCCAACCGACGCAGACCAACGCTCGAGCGCTTAAGCGCTCAAGAGCCTATATAACGATGCCCTCCCCATGCTCAACCTCTCCACCTCAACAAGCATCCTAATCATGTCATCCTCCGTCCCCCACCCCCACACCAAACGCGACGACGCACCCCAGCGAGAGTCATCCGCGGCCTACCCCCTCGCCCAGGCGCTCGACGACAACGACCCGGACCCGGACCCGCCCACCGACTCGCGCGCAGTCCTGATCGCGCGCTACAGCGTCAACACCCTCTTCTGGACTCTCGCCGTCGTCCTCGTCGCCTTCGCCGCAGTCCAATGCGACCGCTACCTCGCCCTGCGTCTCCGCGAGGCCCACGCGCGCCCTCGTCCCCCCATCTACTCCGGCCCCGCGCCCGCGGAAGACATGCGCGCGCAGCTCGACAGGCTCGTCACGGCCCCCATCACCCTCGGCGGCGTCGACGTATACCCCACCGCGCCCATCTGCCTGCGCTCAGGCTTCGGGCTCCCGGACGCCGGCGACTGGACCGCGCTCGACCGCGGCTCGTCGTGGGGCCACCTTGACTTCACGTGCGATGCGCGCGCGTACGTCGTCGATACGGGCTTCGACGCGAATGTGAGCGCCGAGGTGCACGTCGTGCCGGGGTCGGACGCTACGGTCGATGTCGCGGCGTCGTACGGCGTCGGAGGGAAGGGGGCGCTGGACGCGTATGAGGTGTGCATCTACCGCGCGGACGCCGCCCCGCTTACGGTCGACGTCTTCCGTATCCAGCGTCGCATTCCCGTTGGCGCCACTGACACGACCAAGGACGCGAGCTCGAGTGTGCGCTTCAATGTCACGCTCCAACTCCCGACGCTCACTCGCACCGGCGACGCCATGCCCCGCGCACTCAGAATCGGGCGCTACGAGGCCGTCACACTGCATGCCGGTCTCACAGTGCGCGACCTGGACATATACACGCCCGGCAGCGTCCACGCGCAGAGCGGGTTCGCCGCGCGCGGGATGAGCGTGCGGACGTACGGTCCGAGAGGGAACGTGACGGGCCGTTTCGCCGTCGCGGCTGGGCATGTTGGTGTGGGGACGTATGGCGCGGGGGTGGATGCAAGGTTCGATGTTACGAGGCGGCAGGGCGAGGACGGGAGGACGAGGATGGTCGTGCTGGAGGCGTATGATGCGTGCGTTGGGCTATCTGATTGTGTCGCTAAAGTGCGCTGTCTGATACGAGTGTATACAGCCCGCTCAATGCGATGCTTAAGCTAGTGGACGAAGCGGCCGACTCGTGCGCGCGAGTCTCAGCAAGCGCCGATCCGCACTGCATGCGCTACCGCCCCTTCGCCTTCGACATCCGCGCGACGTCCTCCAGCCACCCTCAGGAGCTCACCCTCGTCGAAGGCTCGTCCTACCCGCCCGGCATCACCATCCACGCGCGCGCCACCGACGCCGCAGCCGTGCTCAGACTCGACTCGTCGTTCAAGGGCACCTACCACTTCCGCACCGCGAAGAACCACTATGGCGGGGAGATCATGAGCAAGGAGGGGGTGCGTGATCCGGAGGGGCGTGGGAGGGAGAAGGTGAAGATCAGGGATGCGAGGACGCAGTATGGGTATTTTGGTGCGACGGGGTGGGGGAGTGGGAGGGCTGCGAGGAAGGGGGCTAGTTATGCTGAGGTGGCGGTGGATGCGAGTCTCAAGGCGACGACGGATGGGGAGGGCTGGCTTTGGGATGGTCGTTTCAACGGGTGAGGGGCGTGTATAGTAGTGTCCCACTTGAGTTGTATATGTTCATTTCGTCTATCATGTGCATATACTTGAAATACATTTCTCCTATCAGGCCTCGCCTCATGAATGCCCTTGTTTGATCTCGTCGCCTTCGTGCTCACCGCCTCCTGACGGATACGCGGATCCACGGCCGAGTGCCGTGCGCTCAACATCGATGTCAAAGGTGACAGTCACAGCTTCGCGCCCGTCGTTAGCCCTTCTTCCAACGTCGCTGAGAGACAGCATTTGAGGCTTGCGCGTGTGGTAAACCCTGTCGAAGGCCACGAGAATGAATATAGCCAGCGGATAAATGGACTGGATAGATTGCGGTCAAAATACAGTGGCAGGGAGAATGAATATAGCCATGACGTACGGTGAGCTGGGCCATGACATAATCAAGATGATCGACGGCCGTAATGACCACCGGGGAGTAAGGCGTTATGGACTGAGGTGCGATGGATACGTCAAAGCTGGCGCAGTATAGTGCCTGCATGCGTTTAGATAGTCCATACAGCGGATACACAAGGTTTGCACATACCCATATAGCAGTATAGACGATTCCTGAATCCACAAGAATCTCCATGACCCTTTCGACGAGAGTTCGACGACCGTTGGCTCGGATGAGTTCTGCCAATTGTCTCCGATGCATCCTGTTCTGGGTTGAGAAAGGGCTCATATGCTTTGGTGCGATGCTCAGATGTACCATGCCTTGAGGCCGACAAGAGCTGTGGCACAAGCATTGCTCGCGAGCGACACGAAAGCTGCGGCGAGTCCAACGTAAGTCTTGCCATATATCACGATGATTTCCGTGTCCCCGACGTTGAACCCCGGGGAAGGTATCGCGCTGAGCTTTACACTCGCACCATCCCATACCAGGTTTAGGACGTTGAACACCGATATGGCGATGATCAGTACAGTAGCGAAAGCGAGAACTAGGCGCCTCTTGTCCCATACGACGCACATACGCCACAGGACAATCGAATCGCTTAGGACGGCCTATAACGACAGGTTTGGGTCAGAATGCATGGTAAAAGGTCATGAGAGGCAAAGTTGGAGTCCTCACGTTGATGGAGAGTAACACCACAAGAGTTAGATGAAGAGAGGCGGACTTGCCACTAGTCCTGTAACGCGTGAAATATCCGAGGGAAACAGCCCAGTGTATCATTGACAGCGTGTACATGGTGGCCGCGAGTGTCGGGATCACTACAGCCATGGGGCTGAAGTGTAAGCTTCCTTGCGATCGCCAACGCCTGTCATGTCATCATGTCAACAGGGATTGTTCCAAGGACTCCTTCTGGAAGGACTGACCGAGTGTAGATGCACGCCGTCACCGCGAAAAGAACCGAGGAGAAGCCTAGAGTCCACTTCAGCACGTCCCTAACACAAGTATGTCTAAGATGACCTACCAAACAGGACAGTCTCTGTCACAAGCGGCAGCAGTAGTTCCCACGCATCCTGCCAAGCCTGATATTGTGCTATTTGTTGACCATCCAATTCCTCGTAGATAGATAGGGCATCCGATCCGGTATCCTCAGAAAGGCTGGAAGAGCGCGTCTTAATGACGGCAGACAGAGCCGGACATCGCAGCGTACCCGCCGTTGATCAACGAGATGAGCTGCCGCAGAGAAAGCGCCCAGTGAATAAGAGTCACGGTAAGGGAGAACCAAAGGGCCGTGATGAGTAATGCACGAGTAGTAGAGCGCAGCTTGATCCTACGCTCGTGCCATTAGCTCATACCACTCTTCCCCATCGACTCGCACTCACCAAAGAATATATGATCCGAGCAGTGCACACGCACATAGCGAGCCTGAGAGACAAGGGTAAGAGTATGTTGTTATCGGGTGTATGGCTAGCTCACCCATTGCAAAACCTTCCAAAAGTACCAGAGGAACATAAGACGAGGCCGCGTCTTCATATTGTGCCAGTAAAATCCCAACCTCTTGGCTAGCGTTCAATCCGTACGGTCCATACACCGGCAACATGATCGAGAAGCGAGGGTGATGTTCACAGGTGCGACTCTCTTTGCGCGGGCCTGCACGGGCTTTATAAGGAAGGGGCAACCATAATAGGATCCCCGAATACACGGCCTTCTGTCAGCGGGACGCTCGCTGTGGAGTACCTATATTGGCATTGTGTTCAATGGTACAGCATCTTGCGCCAACCAGGTACCGGTCTGACATCCTAGATGTCGGGGAAAGATCTTGAGTCTACGGCTACACACGCATCATCGGGCACATCCTTTCAACGATGGAATGATGAGTGACAGACACGGTGATTGCGCGATGAAAGGTTGTGCAGAACGTGCCGTCGACGCGTCTAGCGATACACCTGCAGCGTACTTATTGACCAACATGCGAAGGAACGACAAGATAAAGTACGGGCCCCATATCATGCGCTGGGGTACCCAATGGTCAGCCACAGTACATCAAGTGACGAGGAATGCAATGCCTTCTATTACCAGCTGTCCGTTTACATTCGTCACGAGGAGAAGACGGGTATCCCGTCAGATCTTTCTCCAATAATATCAGTCGCGACCCCGCGCGCTGTCAAGTATAGCCCATACTTCTCTGGAAGAGGACGGTAACAAAGGCTTTCATATGCTCATGACGGTTGGAAGGAAGTCGAGAGCGATGTGTGGCGCGCTTGATGCGGCCGTGTGGACACTCACTTGGTCTTGCCCATCATGTCCTCCGCTCCTCGAGCCAAAGGGGAAAGGCCACGAAAGCGTGGCTCGGCACTCTCCCCATCTGAGGGCTGGGAGTCCGAAGAGCCCACAGACTCTCGCGCCATCCTGCTCGCCCGCTACAGCGTGAACACGCTCGCTTGGCTCGTCGTCGTCGTCCTCGCCGCCTTTCTCGCTGTACACTGCGACCGGTACATCGCCTTGCGCCGCCACGAAACCTCTCTGCCTGAATATATAATCTCATCCAACGCGGACCTGAAACATGCGCTGGGGAGAGTGTCGGATACCTATCACGTCAACGAGTTGATCGAGGAGCTCAGTGGCTTCGATGCCGCGACACCGGCGCCTATCCACCTGAGCGAAGTTGACCTTCAGCCAACGGATCCTATCTGTCTGCGAGAAGGCTTTGGGGACGCCGACGCCGGAGACTGGGTCGCCGTCAACCCTAATTTCGAGGGCGAGACGTCCGGCTCGCGGCGACGCTCAAGAGGCCATCTTGCCTTTGCGCGCGATGCACACGCCTACGTCGTGGACACGGGCTATGACTCGGGTATCCGAGCACAGCTACATGTGATCCCAGGCGCCAGCGATATGCTGCACTCTACGGTCGACGTCACGGCGCTTTACGACGACAGCGAGGATCCCGACACGCGCGTACTCGACGCGTTTGATGTGTGCACCTATCGCGCGGACAGCAAACCCGAGGATGGGACATGGCCCCAGTACGACAACGGACCACTTCTCGCTGACGTCTTCAGAATTCAGCGCCGTCCCTTGTTCCCCGGTGCCACCGACGCAGACAAGAATCTCAATGGCGGTCGCAGCTTGAGCAATATCATAGCTGACGTGCACTTCAATGTTACGCTCACAATACCATCCGGCAAAAACCGGTCCCTGCACGGGCTCAAAGTAGGACGGTACGACGTCAAGCTGCACAAGGATGTCACAATCCGCGAGTTGGACATATATACACCCGGACGGGTGCACGCTCAGAAGGGCTTTGGGACTACAGGCTCGAGCATACGGACATACGGCCCACGAGGGAACGTAACGGGCCATTTCGACGTCGCTTATGGAGACCTTGATGTGCGCACGGATGGTGCAGGAGTGAATGCGCGATTCGATGTAGCGAGGGGACAGCGGGAGGATGGCATGACGCGCTATATCAACTTTGAGGTCAACGATGGGTGCGTCAATTGAACATTCTGCGCTCTCTTAGGTTGATATCTGACATAAACGTGAATAGTTCGCTCAATGTGAAGCTCTGGCTCGACGACGAAGCGCTCGATCCGTGCGCGCATGTCCCAAAGAACGTCGATCCACACTGCGTGCGCTACCGCCCTTTCGCATTCGACATCCACGCAACGTCTTCAAATCACCCACAAGAAATCATGCTTCTCGACCACTCATTGTACCCGTCGGGAGTCAATATCTACACCCGGTCCACAAATGCACCATCCAGACTCAAGCTGGATCCGTCGTTTGAGGGCACCTATCACTACCATTCGGCCAAGAATCATTACGGAGGAGAGATCATGTACCGAATACCTGAGGTCGATCCGAGCGGGAAGGGGAGGAAGAGAGTACGATTGGAAGGATTGACTACTCAGTATGGGTATACCGGCGCCGTGGGTTGGGGCAGTGAGGAAGCTGCGAAGAAAGGCGCAAGTTTTGCGGAGGTGTATGTTGACGCGGACCAGACAAATAAGGCGCCAGAAGTAGACAGAAGGCCTATAGATGCCCGGAAGGCTGGTTGAGCACTCCGATATCTCCTGCGAAGTAAATATTCCTTCAGACCCGGTGCCACAGCCGGTGATAACGGTGATAATATCCACGTGCTTCGGCCCGACCAGTGGGTGGAAGCAATCTCACGCTGTACTATGTACGAAGTACATGAACCATACACTTGTCCTCGACGAAAGTAGACCCTCCGCTCTTCATATCCTGCTTCACACACGTTTCCGAGTATGTCGGATAGCTGAAGATGCCCGGACGCTGTAAGACCAGTTCAGTCAGCGGGTGGCCGCTACGGGCCACACGAAGCTGTCGAGTTACCATCACCATCAAATAAAAACGTCCTGGACAGCCGAGCGCCCAGCTACAGCGCGTATATAACGATTAGTGGCAGGGAGATGCTCATGGCCCACGATCTCTCTTTGCTCCTTGGCACTGTCCGTCATGTCGTCCTCGTCCCGAGCCAAGGCAGAAAAGGGCTCAACGACCTGGGAATCCCAACAGCAGCCCGCGGATCCGAGCTCATACTCGCGCGCCATCCTGCTTGCGCGCTACAGCGTCAACACGCTCGCCTGGCTCATCGTCGTCGTCTTTGCATCCTTCCTCGCCGTCCAATGCGACCGTTATCTTGCTCTACGCCAACTCGAAGCGCCTGCTTCCCACGCCCACTCAGCATATGATATCTCTTCGAACAAGGACGAGCTGGAGATTGCGCTGGAGAGGGTGTCGGATACGTACCGTGTCGACGACATTATCACCGAGCTCGAGGCGCTGGGCGATACACTGGATGGCTTGACGCCGGCGCCTATACGCCTCGATGGCACCGATGTATATCCGACAGATAGCATCTGTCTCCGTGAAGGCTTCGGCGATGCCGACGTGGGAGATTGGGTCACATCACCTCCAGCTACGTACGAGTTTAACGACGGCGAACGCTACCGGTTCCGTGCGACTGGCCATCTCGCTTTCGCGCGCGACGTACGGATCTATATGGTCGATACGGGATACGACCCGGATGTGCGCGCGGATCTGCATGTCGTCTCTGGCGCCGTGCCGTATGCCACTGTCGATGTTGCAGCCTTCTCCAACGAGCAGAATGCGGGCGCGGGGACCCTCGACGCCTTCGAGGCCTGCACTCATCGTCTGGACTCCGCACCCGAGTCTCTGACTGGAGATAGCCGCTGGCTGTCCGGCTCTGAATACGACCCGCTCAAGATCGATCTATTCAGACTGCAACACCGCAAACAGGCTCCCTCGGACGCTGCGGGCGACAACTCGAGCCCGGACGTGCGCTTCAATGTGACGCTAACTGTACCCGAAGAAAGCGAAGAGCTATACTCGCTGAGGATAGGCTACTACAACATCACCCTCCACAACGGAGTCATCCTGGACGAACTGGACGTGCAAACTTCCGGGAGCGTGCATGCTGAGAGCGGTTTCAAGACCATTCGTCTGGGCGTTCGAACAGTCGGCGCGCAAGGATCCGTCACTGGCCATTACGACGTCATGAATGGGGATGTGGCAATACATACGGACGGTGCGCCCGTAGATGCGCGCATCGACGCTGTGAGGACGACAACCAAGAACAGAAAGACGCCCACTCAGAACATCAATGTGGTGGCTACTGATGCGTACGTCCTGTTTCCCTTCGAATTGCGTTACATCGAACTGACCGAACTCAGTAAACTCACCGTTGAACTTTTACTCGAGGATCAAGCAGACGACTGTGATCCTGCCTTCGCTCCTGCTCCCAACTGCGCCTGGGTCCGCCCCTTCGCGTTTGATGTCCGCACGACGTCCTCGAACCATCCTCAACGCCTGACCATCCTCGACGGCTCTTCGTATTCCGCGGGAACGCGCATTCTGGCGCGCGCTACGAACGCACCCGCAAAGCTCAAGCTCGACTCGTCCTTCGAGGGCACGTATGCCCTGAAAACGGGCAAGCATGCGTTAGGCGCCGGCATATCGGGCGAACCTGGTGTGGACGATCCAAATGGATGGGACAGGCAAAGGGTATTCGTGCATGGACTAGGTAATAGGCATGTGTTCTCAGGCGCGGTCGGGTGGGGTAGCAAGGATGCCGCCATGCACGGGCCGAGCTATGCAGAAGTGGAGATTGACGAGGGGATGTTCACGGCGGATGTGGATATTAGGCCAAGTGCGAAGTCACGATACTCATAGACTCGGGTCAAAGCATACTGGTTTCGAGATGGCTACCTTATTCATGTTGCCTCGCATACTTGAAACCCTTGTTCCCGACACTGCACCGCGTACTTCCACCTGAAGAAAGGCTGAGGGAGATGATAGTACTACATGTGATGAGCGAAGACACTCCCGCTCAAAAAAGGATTCGCCTTGCTCTCTACAATTGCTCCACAACACGAATATTTTGTCCGCAGTAACGGGGATAATTAATACCACGTGCGCCGGCCCGCAAGTTGCCAGGCCCAACGGAAATGGATTTGTTGTCCGCCGGTTGTCGCAAGACCACCATGTCCTCGATGTGCTTTCAATATATTCAATGCACTACCATTCATCACTTGATGCACCTCTTCACAACAGCGGATAGACGTCGTCCGCTCCCTACCTCTCCCAAGCCATGGACGTCGGCCCCATGGTGCTTCTTCGGTCCGCTCCTCGGCTTTGCTTGTCTCTTCTCCGTAGTCAATCAGACGCACGACTTGACGACGTACCCATGTTGTACGCGGCCAGGCGCGGCCCGCTCGGGGCCTTACCTTGGCACTTACAGTGCCCCAAATAGCACATCCGTACCTTCTGACCTTGCGCCTTCCGAGTTCATCGCTCTGCCGAAGGGGTCGTCATCGTGCTCCCAAAGCTCACGGCGCACATGAGAACAATATATCTCATGCACTCATCCGAGCTTGATCCTGCTCACGACTGCGTAGTTGACTTCTTGTCAGTCACCTGGCGCGTTACGCGGCGGGCCGTTTGGTTGCTAGAATTCATGTCCGGGTCAGCGACCATGCAGTCATCGTACGGGTCGCAACTGCGATGCGTAGACTGCCTTCGCGATGTACCTGGTCCGGTATAGCGACCGCGGCAGGTGCCCGGTATAAAACTCGCCTTGCCTTCGGACGTTGCACGCCACGTACCCCACCATGTTCTCCGCCGGCGTTGCTGCTCTAGCCTTCTCCTCCCTGGCGTGGGCCTACCCTAACCCGGGAACGGTCACGGGTAACATCGACGTCGCCGACCCTACGCTGTGCAAGGATGACTCTGGAACGTACTTCCTCTTCTGTACGTGCTTGGCCCTTTCGATGTGAGATGCGACACTGATAGCCTGCTCAGCAACGGCTCCGGGTATTGAGATTCGTACCTCCACCGACCGTACGGCTTGGACACTCCGTGGTACTGTCTGGACTGTGGGCTCAGAACCATCGGGAACGGTTGCCTTTACTGGGGATGCTTCCGCGTACGTGACCTTCATGGCATGCGGTACACGTAGTTCTGACAATCGGTGTCTACAGGAACCTCTGGGCTCCGGATTGTGTGAGCAGCCTCGTGTCTCGAGTCGCTCTGTCTCACTAACAGAAGCTCACAGACCTACGCGGACGGCCAATTCTACGTATGAAATAGGTTCTCCTGCGGTCAAAGCGCTCTATTGACACCGTTGATAGCTCTACTACGCTGCATCCACCTTCGGGTCTCAGAAGGTCAGCCTTCATTGCTTTGCCTCGCCACGAGATGCATATCTCACCGAAGACTAGTCCGGCATCTTCTTCGCGAAGTCAAGCACTGGTCTCCCGGGCTCGTGGACCGATGAAGGTCTTGTCACTAGCACTGCCGAGGGCGACAGCTATAATGCCATTGACCCAAAGTGAGTGTTTTTCACTTCTGCTTCGTTGCACCCGCTGATTGAGCTTCATAGCCTTCTCATCGGTGCGCATCTTGTTTCATGCTCATCGTATATGCATCGAGCTAACTACTAAATATCACTAGATGGCTCGACATGGCGCATGTCGCTGTAAGCACGCATTCCTCTCCTCGTATGGGCCGCTGTTGACCCGAGGATATCCAGTGGTTCTTTCTGGACTGGTATCAAGGAAGTCACGTAAGTGCAGTAAGAACTGCACCGTCGGTGCATTATGATCTAACCCTCGTGCAGCCTGAGCTCTTCGACTGGAAAGCTCGCATCCTCGACAGTCACCTCCCTTGCTGAGCGCAGTGGAACCGACGCCATGGAGGGCTCCGTCATCTTCAAGTACGGTTCTTACTACTACCTCTTCACCTCGTGGGACACCTGCTGCGCCGGTCTCTCCAGCACGTACAATATCCGCGTTGGTCGTTCGTCCAGGTGAGTCTATCGCACGCTCTATTTAGGTCACCTGCTTACGGTTGCTCCAGCGCTGCAGGTCCTTTCGTCGACCAAGATGGCGTCTCACTTCTCGATGGTGGAGGCACCCTTGTTCTCGAGACTCACGGCAGCATCGTTGGACCCGGTGGACAGGATCTCCTGACTGACAGTGACGGCGTTGTCATGGTCTACCGTGAGTCTTGCTCTTCTCAAACATCCTCCGCACCACTAATCGTTGAGTCGTAGATTACTACACTTCGTCCGCCAGTCTAGTGCGTGCATCTCGCCCGTTATGATACATGCCTGTACTGACTTCGCTTGATAGCTCGGTATCAACCTCGTTGACTTCAGCTCTGGTTGGCCTGTACTTTACTAAGCGGTGGTGTACCCGTTGCACGCGGTTATGTCCTCCCAGTCATTCATCTTATCTGGTTGTATCGATCTCTATCCCATTTGGAATGTACGCACAATGGATATGCATCAACGGAGAGCGCGAAGATCAGGCAGAAGTTCGAGTGAGGCGATCTGTAGATGTTGCTCAGTCAACCTGTGGCATGCAGAGCCTGCCACCTCCTCAGCCACTGTTTCATCGCTGCCACACTTGTACGCTGCCCTGAAGCACTAACGGGTCCCTTTCAGATACATGCAGTGATACAGATAATTCTTCGGGTGTGGATTGTGATAGGCCCATGAGTAGCAAGCTATTGAGTACTGGTCTTGCGCGATGGTCTTTCTCTAGACCACCACGAAGAAGTGACCAGAAAGAGCCACGAGCCAATGACTCCCGGCAACGCGCCTTGAACGAGCGTTCGCCGCAGATACCAGCTTGGTGGTGGTCGTAATATCGGCGGACGCGCATCTGCAATGGTGGTAAATCATTATGCTTATGGTCGCGATAGCAGTGGGAATGAACGTACTTCGAACCTCTCTGCGCGCTCTCCATAGTTCAATCGCAGACGTCGTCGATATCCCGATTGCGTACACCCTTAGCGTCTCGCTCGAGGGATGCTTTCTGGGAGTGAAGGGGCTCTTCACGGCGGTAGGGAGCTCGAGAGGGCGCTCGGTGTCGGCGGATGAGTTTATAGGCCGTGTTTGTGTCATGGCCCAGTCACCCAGAGAGCGGCTAGTGCGATCGGAAGTCGGTAGTCTTTTCTTTCGACGACCCAGCGAGCAGCACCACCTGTCTTATACGAAGGGCTGTCTCGATATACGACGACGCGTCTGGCCGGCGGCGTACGGTGACACCTGCGCCGAGGTGGCGCGTCGATCCGGCAAGAACATTGACAGATCTGAGCAGGATCGGATCGGATTCGTGAGCAAAATATCCCAGGAATCCTGATTTGTGCACCGGTCTGGAGTGCAGATACATAAAGCCGTGCATCGCGCATGGGCTCTCAGCAACATGCAGTCTACACAAGCGTATTCTATGTGATCAATCCTAAGAAAGGGCGGAGTCGTAACGTCGTATTAAAGTCCTAGTCTATTGAACGAGATCGTTCACGGCAAGGACAACGACTCGAGGTACACTAATCGAAGTCAAACTATCAGAATAGAAGAAGGGCGTATAGGAATACTGAAGGGAGAGAGAAGTGAAGCCTTGCGCTTCGAGTTTCCTCCCTAGCAACAATCATGGACAGGGTGCACTGACACGGCTACACATGTACTCGCATCGTAGGGCGACGTAGTTCCATTGACAGGCGCGTAGACGATCACGTCCACGGAAGAGCTAGCACCTGAAGCCTTGCACAACGCGAAGCCGTCAAAGTCGGTACTGACGGCGAGAGTGTACGGGAACTCAGCCCCATGAGGACTCGTATTGAACTGAAGGTGCGTGTCAGTCTCAGCCACTCCTTCCTCGTAGGAAGATCAAACTTACGCCTTCGCAATACGCCGGTGTAGCCGGCCGGATCAGAATATAATCCATTATTAACCAGCGTGAAATTGGTGTCGAGGTTTTGGGCGAGAGTTTTCACTGACTACGAGACGGCAGTCAGTATTGGCGGCTTGTATGTGGGAATTGGTATATACCGCAAGGACTGTAGCACCCGCAACAGTGCCAAGGGCCAGAGGGCGACGGAAACTATCATCCAACTGGCCAACGGCCAGCAGAGTGAAGCTGACCGATTCATCGTCGACACTGAATATTGGACATGTCAACGCGGTAGCCCGCCGGTTCGGAGATGAGGCCGGAGAGGCGACCGCGAAGGCGAAGCAGGAGAGGAGGATGAGCGAGGCGACAGCAAACATCTGGCGGTTTATTGGGGCTGAAGAGGAAGTGAGGTCAGCAGAGCTATCGAGAAGTAGCAGCTGAAGACGGGAGACGCTAAAGCCTGGACTTATATATGTATGCCTTCGCTGTTAAGACGAGTGTTCGGGCGACCAATGGTTGTTGCTCTCGGCTCTCGGCGCTAAGCGCTAGAGCTGAAACGAATTCTGGGAGGGGAAACCTATACAGCGCGGATCCGTCGGAGCAGGCACGGTACATGGAAGCCCTCTATGCCACAAGCCTAGAAGAGTTGCAGGGGTGTTCAGCAGCCGTCGTACGGATAGGCAAGGGCACAGCGGGCTGAACATACCGTCAAACTTCTGCTTGAAGTAGATATGCGGGTAGGGGGCCTCCGGCCAGGCGCCACGTTATGCCCTATGTCGCACAATATGCACATACTATGTCGCATCAAGTGAGGTGAAACCGCCGGACGTTCGCAAAGGTCGGGAAGCCGGGAACGAAGTGCAACACGAGTCCATCATCTTTGCTTGCGAAGACCCGGGATTGTACGTTAAGGTCATTGAAGCTAGGAAGCACTCTGGGGGACGTAAGGTGGCGGAGCTGCGTCACGTTCAGACCAGACTTCCACGGCTGAAAGTAACGGTGCGAAACGGCGTACCTGTCAAGACGACGCAGTATGTGAAGAATCGTCATACTGCGAGTTAGAGTGACAGATATGACTGTGCAAAATGCGCCAATATATCATGAGACAACCGGCAGAATGTACTCTAGTGTCCGAGAGGCACTGACTGAGCGACGCTGATGCCACACGCTCTGAATATAACAAGATGTACGTGAATATGGCATTTCATGTCTCTTCGTTACAACGCGTTGGGGATATCCGACGGTCAAGTCTGATCTGATCGTCGGCAGCCTGGCGACAAGCCTTGAGACTTGTGAAGCTTGACAAATCTGCGGTCTACGAGCCCCAGCGCGGCTCGACGACTTCCGCCCACCAAGCGGTCGCACTGATAGCATGATATAGTTCCGCGGCGGCGACTCCTGGGACACCTCCGTAGGCAAGGGAGCGCCACAGGAACTGGCTAGGTGTAGCTTTGACCATGGTATCTTCATGCATCGACGTCAGCGGTCTACAGTATACTACCCACTGAAGGAAGTTGGACGTACGGCTGGTAAAGAAGTACGCAAGTGCAAGCGCTGAACCTACCGCGGCACCAGTTGCGTAGCCTGCTAGAGCGTCGCGGCCACACTTGGGGGGACGTGGTACTGGGCGGCGTCGCACCGATGGATGGAGCGTTTCGCCTGGAGACGCGGTTGTATGGCTTGGTTGCTCTTCCTTCGAATCTTGATTCCGAGCCATGGATGAGCGGCATCGTCTCGAAGTGTGCGGATGACACCTTTATGTATTCTGCCGCCGTCGGCGTTGCCTACGTGTTGACTCGGCCCTCCAACCAGTGCGTAACCGTCGGGTGTACCCGGATGCGCTCGGGTGTGAGTGCGCGTCAAGATGATGACCTGGGGATTTTGGGTTGGGCAGACGTACTGTACGCGTATGCCTGGGAGTAATGTACGTGTACCCGCTGGGTACTATCTCATCGTTGCCTCGATATGGCCGGGACGGCTGTGAAGGAGGGCAGCATCGCAGGTCAAGTGTGATGATGACGCTCATGCTTCGGTATGGCTTACGCGTCCTTGATACGGCCGCAATATCCTACCCCAGACGTGTTTCACTAGACCCCGGCAATGAATAGATGCGACTTGAATACAGGTCTTGCGGCTGTTGGCGTAGGGCGACTCGATATATCTCGGTTTATCACGATCTTGCGATGCCGTGGGTGTATCCAGCTTGGGCAGGACTGAGCCTTATCATCGAATGTATTGTAATGAACATGCTTGCGTCGCGGCGAAATGTCCGAACACAGACAAGGGCGCTCGTCATGCAGGTGAGGATGGGGGCCGCCTGCAGGTCGCGAACAAGTGGAATTGGCCGCTCCGGTGACCGGCCCGTGAGAGCCGGGCCACAGCTTGAGGCTGCACGCAGCACGCCTTGCCCTCGCGACTTGCAGACAACGGCCATGTTGTTCATCTTGAGGACAGCCTGTGCTCGCATATGATCGCCTTGAATTTGAGAAAAGCTTCCATTCCTAGCCTCGTGTGATTCCGTCCATCTGGTGTCGTGCGTCACCGACCCGGCGCGCGACGCGTACAATCACTGGTCGCCCCCTTTACCCCATTCTTCCAAGTTTGCGCCTACCCTTGATCTCACCTGCCATCTCGGGGAACAAGAGGCGCATCCTGCTGTGTGAGGAACGTTGTCGTCGCGCGATAATCTCTCCGCGACGGCCGGCGTGGCTAGCGCGTGGTGTTCAACATGTTCGGAACTATGCTCAGCCCCCTGCGGGCGAGCCTATATCTCAACACGCACAGTGCCTCTGTACGCACCCGTCCTCTTCGCTACCTTTACTGTTTTGCTTATTCTTTATACGGTCGTGCAGGTAACGACTTGTACGACTTTCGCCATGCCCTTCTTCCAGTCTCGCCGCCGCACGGCGATTCCAAACCAACAGACGCACGACTTCTCAACGACCAGGTCACAGACCCCATTATCTATGAGCTCCCGCAATGTCCTGCGCAAAGCGCCGCCACGAAGACCAACTGGAGAGCAGAGGCGCAATTTCTTTGGATTGGGCGAAGTGATAGGTGTAATTGCGAATGTGCGTATCCGGTGCTCGTTCTCCACACGACTCCCTTGCTCACAACAAGGACGCTTAGCCTGCCGAAACACTGCGCTCGCTTTCTGACGCTCGTCGACTGCTTGAAGAGACGCGCACCGAACTGGCTGAGAATCGCGAACGTGCTTCTCTCCGGCCCTCCCACACGTTCTCTCGCCTACCCGGCTTCTTTCCTCGAAACACGGAGCTCAAGTTGCTCGAGCGCACACTTGACGCCGAACCTGCATTTACGGTTCTCTTCGGCGCATCATCCGTTGGCAAGACTGCGCTTCTGCGCCAATTACTGTCTTCGGACCGATATCATGTCCTTCATTTCGACCTACGGATAGCGGGCTTTGCGGATTTGGAAAGCCTTTACATGAGCTTGAGTCAACAAATGGAACAATATTTTGGCGCACTCTCCGAGATGGAAGGCTACAAGGAGTTTGAGAAAGAAGGATGGAGCTTCAAGGCATGTCTTCTATGGCTCAAGCTATCGGGCGCCTACTCATACCCATGGCATTAGCACGATCGCCGTTCAGTGGAACAACGTCTGGCCGATGACCGTGGTGGCGTACGGACAAGCGACATCGCGCGTCTTATGGAGCTCTTCCAGGTGAGCACTCTACAGCAGGCATGGTATACAGTCACTCACAAGTTGCATTCAGAGTTCCTTGCTCAAATACAGGGAGTTCGTGCCGAAGAGTCTGGATGATGATTCTACGAAGGATGAAGTCACACACGCCACTATATCCTCTCAAAGCGAACCCCAAGAGACGCGAAAGCCCTCCTGGTGGCGATTACGACGCCGAAGACAGCACCATCGGGAACAACAGGAGCTCCAGCGCCAGCGTCAACGTCAACAGGCCGAAGCTCAGAGCATGAAAGAGAAGCCAAAGCGCGAGCCACCACCGAAGCGCATGCCTGTCCTTTTCTTCGACGAAGCGCATAAGCTGTATGTACCTCGTTGTTTTGCGTCGTGTCACATTCTCAATCCACTCGTAGACCGGGTCTGATCCAATCTGTGGAAGCGATGAAGTGCCTTCTCGACTCCATGCTGGTTTTGACGAAGCAAGATCGCCTTTGCCATGTCATCCATTCGACGAGCGACCCTTTCTACCAAACTTGGCTGCGGCAACTTAACGTCATGCAGCACTGCAAGATTGTCACGATTGGTGACTGTTCGATGGCTGAGACGCGCGGGTACTTTGAGCGCAACGTCCTTCCGGGTGTACCTGAGAACCTGCGTCACGGGCTTGACTTCGAGGAGATGTATGATGCTTTTGGCGGTCGTCTGGTGCACTGGCAAGACTACAGCACCGACTACGGTGAGTTATCTGCCCCGCGGTGGCTGATATTTGTATTTATCCACTTTATCAGTGAATTCGGGCGGTAAACTAAGGAGTACGTCTCGAATTGGTGGCCATTCAACTCGTACTGACCCCTATCAGTCTTACAGTCTTCACACTTCGTCCAAGCTCATGCCCTGCTCAACTTGCACGTCATCCACTCCTCGCGTCTTGCCGAGGCAGGCGCGGGTAGCCGACGAAACAGCGCGTTGCAGCGACAAGACGCGCGTAGGGATTCCCACGCCCAGGTACCAGCAGCTGGAGGTGGCTTCAGCATATACAGTCCTCTTTCTGGCCCTCCACGCAATCCTCACGCCGCACCGACCGGTGCAACTCCCGATGGACTGGACGCGCCATCCGACAGGCCATCCTTCACCGGCCTTCAGCTCTTGCGCGTACTGGCGCGCTTGACAGAGCCCGGTGTCCGTTCGCTCAGTTACTTCATGCTCTGTCGAGAGTTTGGAGCCCGGGCGATCGATGGCATGGTTCGCGGGCGTATCCTGGATCTACGCTGGACCGAACCCGTCACACGGGAAGATGCTCCAGAACGAAGAACGCATCGACAGCGCGCTCGGCGTAAGAGTGGCGTCGGTGCTCACTACGACGCGTTGGAGAGCCCGACTCTCGTGGACCAGGACTTCGCCGATGAGATACATCGTGAAGGCGACGCTGCTTCTCCCACTGGAGATGATGATGGTGCCAGTGAGACCGCTGATGAGGGCTTCGTGGTCGTGCCGAGGACAGACGCAGACGCCATGGACCCAAGGATTCTACCGGCCACACCCATCTTACGCTTCGCTATGGCACATGTGGTCGCCGAATATGAAGACTCCGACTCTGTCTCCGAATACGCGTCGCTATCCGACGCCGATATTGACGAGTATTAAACGACTTGCCTCGTACGACCCTCTCCCAGCCAGGACTTCAGACTAATATACGCGGGCTTGTAGCCCGGCCACTACTGTACTACATCGTTTTCGTGTCAAAGTGTCAACATGTTCTATCGTCATGGACCGCGTCCATGCGTTTCATGGTTTCTTATGGTTTGGGTGGTTCGTTCACGTGTGGATCTCCCTTTGTAGCTTTGTGTGGTCATTGTTGTGGTTATACACGGGTTTCTTCCTTTTGCAGATATATAATGAAGCCACCTTGTTTACCTTCCCCTCCACCTCAATGTCTTCTACCTCAGAGTCTTCTAGCGGGACCGCGTCGCCTCCCGTCCTTCCCGCTGTGCCTCGGCACTTGCTTCCTCAACGTTTGGCGTACCTCCGGCCGGACAGGTAACTATACCGCCGATACCGTTTATCTCTGGTAGGACTGACACCAGTGCAAAGCCCAACCAAGCTTCCCCGCGTCAAGCAACCAGCTGTACCCTCGTGCAGCGGAAGCAACACTGTTGAAGAAACAATCGAAACATGTACGCCCATTCGTCTCAAACAGCAGAATATACGGGTTGACTTGTGCTTTTTCATCTACAGTGGACCAAGCCTTTGATCACTGTACGTTGATAATACCTTTCCGTGGCGCGGTTGGCTAACATGTCGTAGTGGATGACGCTCTACAGAAAGGTTCGCTTCCTGACTATCGCTCACTATTATAACAGTCCGTATCGTTAACATCTCCCAGCTGTGACTCTTCAGCGCCGCAGTAAACGTGAGTCTTGCATAGTCTTCTTGTGCAAGAAATTGATCAACGGTCTGCCGTATGCAGTGAACCCTCAAGACGAGCGACTTCTGAAGAAAGGTCAGCATACGCTCTATCTAAGTTGCAACCTGAACTCATGGGTTTTCTCAGCGATGCGGGACGTACAGTCTCGTGAGTCGGGCTCTAAGTTCCGTATCTGAGCTTCACTAACTCTCATATTCACTACAGTCATTGATCTGACCAAGACACCTTGAGATACGCATCGTACAAATCGCTGACGGTGGAGCAAGTTATGAATCAAAGGATACTAGAATAACTGTGACTCCATCACGCACGCTCCCTTTTAATCCTTGTACATATCCTTCGTCCCCTTCTCTGACATGAATTGACCATTATCCTCCGGTTTCAATCGCGAGATGGTGTCCAACATCAGACCCACAGACTGTTGCGGGGTATAGGCGATGGGAGTCCAGTCGGGGTAGCCAGCCGAAATAGCTTTCAGAGCCTCATTGAAGCCTGGCGGCAGTTCTCCCGCTATGGAAGACATCAACTCCCGTACATAGGCTACACAGAGTGACAGGGCTCACGTTTTCCTGGTGTCGTCTCCTCCGTATTCACGATGCCCGGACTGAAGGAGACGCAAATAACGCCTTCTTCTCGGAACTGATTGGCGAACTTGGCGTTGAGCATGTTCAATCCTGCCTTCGTGCACGCATACGCGACCATAGTACGCGACTTGATACGTTGCGTGAACTCAAGATCTCCAGCTGACGATGAGATGTTGATGATCTTCTTCGTCGGGCCGGCTCGTAGCAAGGACATGAACGCGAGCGTCGTCCACATCACACCTAGCACATTGACGCGGTACTGCGCACGGCTCAGACTCGAAGGCGTTAATCATGCAAGACACTCACTGCATCCATGAACTCTTGGTCGACGGCAACTTCAATGCCTTCGCTATGCGAAACGTTAGCTGACTAGGCTCGCGTCGGAAATCACACAAAGTCTTACTAGTCGTTCATGCTGGTGAAATAGTGTTCTCCTCCTGTCTTCGCGCCATTGTTGATAAGCACATCGATGGAGCCACCAGTGACTTTCGAAGTCTCTGCCGCAGCTGCCTGTGAGAGTGTCAGCTCACCGGAGTCGCAGATGAAGTGCTGTGCGTCGAACGTTCAAGGACTGACGATCACATAGGTCTGCCTCAAGGATGTGCACCCTCGCGCTAGCGAGAGGTATGAGATGCACGGCAGTAGCTTTGTTTCGAACAATAGCGATGACCACATTATCTGGCTTGGACGCCTGGGATGGGTGAGTGGGTTGTATAGGCGTCAGGAACCGGGAATCATCGCGCACCAATTGACGGACGAACTCAAGTCCGATGCCGCGGCTAGCACCAACTACAACCCAGGATGGCATATTGAATGAGACAGACTTATGAGGAGGGTAGTGTAACAATCTGCGTCTGAAGATCGCTTCTTTATATACTACGTGCTCAGGCCTGAGTCAAACGCTTGTATCGACGGTCCCGGTCGCCGCGGGCTTAGCTCCGACCCTTACCATCACCAGAGCGCGGAATAGTAGACTGATTCCCCATGTCAGTAAGCCACGACTGGCGTGGGCATGCTCTGTATATCCTTGAGCGAATCTAAGGTTCATGGTTGATCTATTGCGGACATCGATGACGGTGAGAGAAGACGATCCGCGAGTCCAACGCGGGTCCATCAAAACCTCTACCACGCGTATATTCTGGCGAACCCCGACCGGGATGAACGCGAAACGGCCTTCTGCGCACCTGGGAAATCAAGAAAGCCTGGAATGCTGTTGCAGTAAGGAATGCAAGGAACACAAATGAAGTGTGCCGCATGCATTTTGAGGAAAAAATACTTGAAGCTGGCCCGGATTGAACGGACGACCTTCTGGACTGGAATCAGACGCTCTACCGCTGAGCTACAGCTCCGTTGCAGAGCTTTTCATTTTCAAACCCCATCTAGACGTCATCTAATGGCTGCACAAATATACTATTCTATTGCTGTTGAACCGCTGAAAGTTCTGAGGTGAAATAAAGAGTTCACAAACCTATTACGAGGGTAGGTATGTACGTCGGGCTCAAGTGCCAGCGATCATTGGCGTGTCTTTGTCTTCCCCCGTCTAGCTGAACTGACCGTCTTATCCCGGAATGACATGCACATCTCGTCCCTATGAGGATCATCTTCCTACATCGTTCCGGTTGGGGAAGTTGCATCACGGGTCCGCATTTGGAAGCCATACACAACGATCCTCATGCCGATCGCGATATCCTTCCGGCCTGCGCAACCCGCACCGATCGTTTGACTCTCAAGAGCGCGCTCTGTAACCAGCAAACTTATTGAAGCCCGAGATGCACGCACTTACCTCCCGAGTCGGAGGGGTTATATTACATTGTGTGGGCGATGTGTCTGGGATACGCATGGCTTGCGGCGCCCCGGCAATAGCCTACGACGAAACATGCAGCCTCGGTCCTGATTGGAAAATGTAGCGTACCATAGGCTATCTGCGACGGTCCTCGTTCAAAATGCAAGAGGACTTACAAACTTGAAAGGGAGTATACATGGTCCCACCGCGAGGGGCATAAATTTTGAGCGGAGGCGCGCTTGAATGTTGTACCGAAGGGTCCGATGAATCGAGAGATGCTCCCGTCGACCACCCGCCTGGTGTCTGTGCGCCCACAGTCCGGAACGCAGACATCCGAGGGCACCATTCAAGGCACAAACTTGTTCAAACAGGTTTTGACTGCGGATTCAACGGTGCTGCATGCGCGCCAAAGCCACATATGTCGCTATGCTCTCTCGAGAAGGAGACGGCCCCTTCAAATCACCACTACACATCGTCACCTGCCCGCGCAACCTTCCATACTGCATTCGTCCTTTCAGCGCCGCATACAAAGCGTCAAGTCGTCATCGCTTGACAAACTCTTCCAGGGCTTACCTTTTCGGGGGTGCACTTTCACTCTGTACCCAAACGTCACTCGCTCGGATCCTGTATGCTGACTTCTCCTTCCTCGACCTGACTGCAACATCTCACAGTAGTCCGCATATCGGGCGCAAGCGGAGAGCCCCTCTCGGAGCGGAAGTGCATGCAGCGCCTTCCCGACCAGTATACCCACCCATGCAAACCCCTCCGATAACGCCGATGACTACTTTCAGTAGCTGCGCACGAGTTCTATGAGCGATACTGGCATGGAGACATCCGAAGTGCTTGGGGTCTGGGGTGCCCCAAATTTTGAGAACTGGCGATACAAATTTCGAATCCTACACCGCACGCAGCAAGCCCCGCAGGCTCGGCTACAGTACCTTGCACAGCACGTCGCCAGAGTGGGACCTCTCTGCATTGCACCTGCAGTCTGCAGGCAGAGTGACTCAGCGATACAGATGCGCTGTGCGGAATATGCGCACAATACGAGTACTAGTAAACCACATGTAGCTTGGGCGCTAGGCCCACGGCTTCAGAAAGCCTCTCCTGGTCGTGTGGCACCGCGCTCCCGCGCTAGCCGCAGCCCACGTATCGACAATACCTCAGCACCGACGCTCATCGGACTTTTGTTGAGCCCCTCTACGTTCAAAGATGTGCCAAAAACTGCATACCTACAATGTATGGAGGTAAGCGGCCGCCTGAGGGTCTTGTGGGTTTCAACCAAATCGCGGCTCGTCGTCGGGCATCATGATGCTCAGGTCGATTAGCGCGGATGATTACCGTACTAACTGTCATCAAGGTAAGCTTTCGTACAGCTACACATCCGATCCGGTACGTGCCGTGTACTCATGACCGTACAAAGGCAGTACGTAGGCCC